TAGAGGAAACGAACAAATTCACAGGCCGTAATACCTAGCCGGTTTATCTTCGTCGTCGCGATTTCGAACCGGGTCCCTTGATTCGCCTCGATGCGGCGGCGGGCACGGTTTCAATTTGCTGGACTTTGCGGATCGCGAATGCACCCGCGTGCGCCAGCTTTGCGAGAAACAGATTGCACGGGTCCGGTGGTAACAACCCCGTTGAACGAGTTACACGCGTCGCGAGCAATAACGCGTTCGATTGGATCCTTTCCGGAAAGCTCTGTACGATTCTATCCAGCTAGCCGCGCGGCATTCGTCCGGTTGTTACAGGGCGCACGGTTTAATGAAGGCGCGCCGAATCTGCTCGCGACGTTCGCGCAGAAAAAAACTGTTAACGACCGGTCTAATTTCGACGAACGAATCTCGCATCGGGGCCCGGTCGAAATTTCAACCGATAATTATTTCACGCGCCTGAAACGCCGCGGTCGAACGATCGATCTCCATTCAGCGATTCGGTAAATGCGAATATTGAATATATTAAACACTTATGCGCTCTTTGTGTTTGCTTGAATTGATCGAGCTAGTCTCTCTCTCTCGCAGATATCTCGTTGGGGCGCGTCGAAGCGTCGCATCCTATGTGAACCGCTGCTATGCTCGTGCTGGTGCTGGTGCTGGTGCTGGTGCTGCACAGCTTCCTACGATATTAATATATCGCGAGAGCGCGCGTCGTAACACAACAAAGTGTTCAGTCTGCAATGCACGCTGCACCAGCGCGAGATTCTTTTATGCGCCAGTAAAAAAGACACGACCGCTTCAGCTTGATTCGTCTCGGGTTATTCAAAGTTTTCATTGTGCGCGGGGCAGCTTCCTATTAAAGAGGCGCTGAAAGCTGGACGATGAAACAACCGGCCAGGTGGACAAGGGGTTGGCATACTTTTTTTTCAGCAAGCTACTACTACCCCGAAGTAGGGCCCCGGAGGAGGGCCGGGATTGTTCGCGGGAACAAGAACCCTCGAGGAACGCGCGATTCCGAGCGCTGTTCGCCGATCGATCGATCTTCGTCTTGCTCCTTTCTGGCTCGCTTAAGGAGCTTGTCGGCCGGATCTATCGTCCTGTCAGGACCCAAGGAACCCGTAGAAAGGGACGTTGATCGAAAGATCGATCGACTTACACGACTTTCCTCTATCCGGCAATCGCGGCCCTCTAATTGCGTTCTGTGGCCACGCCGAAATCTGGCGATCCAGTTCGAAGATCGAACCTTTTCTCACCGCGTGAACCGGCGTGGAACATCCGAGTGAAACATCCTGCGAGATCCTAGACAAATGTCGCAGCTCGATTTCTCGCAGCTTCCACCGACAGCGAAATTTCTCTTTGGCTTCGGGAAGACGGAACCTTCCGCCGCGGCGACGAAGACCGCCGCGGCGAAACAACAAGTTAAATCCGGAGCTGTCTCCCGTGGGAAAATTTCGCAGGTTTCCCTTCCGAGCTTCCGCCGAAAGCGAAATTTGTCTGCTCGCGGACAACCGGAGGAGCCGGTAATCCTTCTTCGGGATCTCGACGCCGTGCCCGATCCCCGCTCGCCGACTGCCTGACGTTCAAACTTCGCTCGGATGAATTATTCACGCGAGTCGAACGAGAAATCGTCGATGGACTTTTCGGAAGGTCGGATCCCCGGACCGGGAAGAAACGTGAAGGTTCCCGGTGTCGTAAAGACCTGTCGGCTCTCTCGGCCACGTACGTTCTCGCAGCTCCAATTTCCCAGCGTGTCGAACGATGAAATACGCTCGCCGCGAAAAATCCTCGGTTCGATTCTTTTACAAATATTGCCGGTTGCTTTCCGTGAAAATTTCCCGGCGCGACTTTATATGCACGTGCTCCGGATATGTTCTCGAAGAAACAGCCGCAGCGCGACGCGGCGCGGAAGTTTCGGCGAACACGCGCCGCAAAGTGCGTCTGGCTATAAACAATTCTCTTCCACCGGCTCTTCGCTGCACGCTGCACCCGAGGGAGCCCCGCTTTATCAACGATGTTACTCCGAGTCTTTGCGACACCGCCGTAAACAGCTTTCGTTGTATCAAATAAATTTGTGCGGGCTGCCTCCCACGCGTTCGCCAGCAGCCGACTAATTGGTGGTCGCCTTTTTTGCGACTGCCCGATCCGTATATTCTAGGAGTGCCCCGTCAGATAATTCTGTACAGTTTCTGCGGAGTCTTTTTGGAACACGGAGATACGTTGTTTCGTTACGAAAGACCGCGTTGGCCTGGCAAGAGGCGTGGGAGGGTCGAAGAAAGTCGGAAGACAACGGTATCGGTGTCACGGGGTTGTTAGCGGCGCGGTGGCGCGGAGTTTCTCGAGGCTTGCTTGCTTCCCTTTGATCTCTGATCGAATAAAAGGACCTCGCCGACTCATTTCCTATTTCGATGAAGTCGACGCCGACGCGATGATCAAAGGGCCAGGGCGACTAGCGGGTGCGCGAAGGAGAGCCAGGCCGGCGAGCGGCGCCGCGGATCGGCCGGATCGACCGGTAACGGGCAGGCTTTTTATTAAAATTCCTTCCAGGCGAAAGCCATATCCGCGTGGAATTCGAGTCGACGTCGGGCTTGTCGATATTCCCGACGACTACGAGCCTCGTACGTCGCCGGATTCCGCAAACAGACCGTGTTCGAAATAACGTACGCCGCGTCGCGTCGCGTCGCACCGACGGAAAAAAAAAGAAAGAAGAGAAACGCGCCGCCGAGGGACCGCCGCACGCGCGGCACCCTTATTCCGCTCCCGTTTCCGTTTCCTCTTTTTCTGGGCCTGAACGGCGAAATTGAGTACTCGTCGAGCAACCTGGGCGCTCGGAACGATCACCCGAGACTCTTGGCTCTCTCGCTTTTCGTTCGCGACGGATCAATCCCGTGCAAAAAGCTCCTCGTTTTCGGAGATCGATCCGCCCCCGCGCGCAGAGCCGATGACAATTTATAAAAACAGTGCGAACGCCCGAGACAGATGGATTTTTCCGAACCTATTCCCGATGATCGACGATCTTTTTTCTCCCATTTCCGATGAAAAATATTCATGCCGCGCGATTCGAGAAATATGGGAAACGGTAAAGTGAAACGGAATTCGTTAGAAATAACGGCTTTTTCGGAGGGACACCGGGGTCTCTCGTCGCTTTCGGCGACCCGGACGCTGCGTTCGAGTGCCGAAACAATGGAAGAAATGCAAATATGTAATCTGCAAATATGTATTCTCTCTTCGCGCCGCAGAATGTTCTCCCTTTCTTGTACGACGAACGTTCGCGGCGGAGATTTAATTGAATGATCCGGGATCAAACGAATCGCGTAGAGGGAGGGCGAGAGACAGAGAGAGAGAGAGAGTCGAGCTTTCTCTCCTTCGTTTCAATTTTGAGGCGAAACATTGTTGAAGGGGTTACGATCCCGATAGCTGGATAGAAATTTCAGGGAACCGAGATATCTCGTGCCGGTTGACAAATATTGTCTCTAAAGAAGTTCCCCCCTCGTCCCACTTCCGGCGTTCGGGGTTCGACTGCTCCTCAAATATTCATAAACGTTGCTCGTCTCCGTCCCTTTTCGCGTGGAGATCACGGGGTTTCGTGCATATATCTCTCCGGGAATATCGCGCAATCCTTTCACGGACCGCGACCAACTCCAAATGAAATTCTAAGCCGGCGTATTTAAATTTTTTTGCCGAGCCGCGAACACAGCTTCCCGTAAATGTCGCTCCGAAAAGTCACGATTCGTAATCGTTCGCGGGTCTTCTCGCTTTTCATTCGAGGCGAGCCAGCTTCTCGTCCGACGATGGGGTAACTTTAACGCCTCGGCTTTCGGAGCGCGTTGCCGATAATCTAATATTCGGTGCTCCGATACCTACATCGAGACGCTCCGAATTACTATGCCGGAGGATTCTTTCAAATATTTGAAAGAACGGCGGCTCGCGCGGAATTACAAAGAACCGAGACGACGACCGGTGTATTATATTCGCGGGACGAGAACAAAATCGCTGGGGGAGGGTTCCGTGAAACGCGCCCAGCGGTTTCATCGAGGTCTCGTCGGGCAAACAAAAGGGGAGAGGCGGGCGGCTGCGTACAGTTTCACCTTGACCAAGCCCGACCATCCTGTTTGATTTATGAATTATTCATCCCCGACGAATTACTCGCAAAGCCATTCGTGCGAAGTCTTCCCCTACTTTCCCAACGTCGGCGTCGGCGTCGACGTCGACTCCGTATCGTGCGCGTTACACTCGTTTCACGACCGTGTAGTTGGCTCGTCCAATAATCCGGGAAAACGAGCGACACGCGATCAATTAACATCATTAGCCGCCGCTTAAAACGTCGACGGAAACGGCATCGAATTTTTCCAAAGGCGGAGCTTGGTCGTTTCAGCAACCGTTTTTCACCGGAGCATACGACACGGTTCTCGGTCTATCCGGCAAGAAAATTGCTGGCAGGAACGCGCGCAAGGACTCGAAGAAATTCCTTAAAAGTTTCCGTTCGCTAGCGTCGTCACGCGAACGGCTAATACCGATAAAACCAGCATGTTATCGTCCTCGAAGAGCATCAACCTGTCGTCCCAAAGAGCAAAATCCAATTTCGCCGAGGGTAACATGTTCTTCGGATGGATACGTTTAAAAACTGATGGAGAGAGAGAAAGAGAGAACCTTTGTTTCCCTGCGCGGAACTGTTTGCAGGACGAGGACGATACGGAGGGATCGCGCGAGCGTGCGAGCCGGTCCGCGAATCCTGTCGCAAATCGAATTTCGCGTTTCCCTCGGCATTCTTTTCCTCGGACGATTGAAAATTTTCCTATTCCCCGCGGACGACGCGATTCGACGAAAGAGATCGGGTCTCCTCGGGCTTTCCGACAGGCGGAATATCGTTTCGCGCCTTTTCGCCCGGAAAGCGCCCCGTTCGCCTCGCGCCGCAGAGATAATTAACTCGCGACACCGTTACCCGGTTTCTCCTTCCGTGTACCGGCGTCGAAAGTCGGAATAAGAGAGAGCTCGTTGTGTTCCAGCCTGTTCTCGGACCTGAGGAGCCTGGCGGGCACGACCCTTATGAATCTCTTGGCAGCCCTCTTCATGGTTCAACTGCTCTTCATCGTTGGAGTGGGCGGCGTTCAGGTAAGTTTCGACAGGTTCCCCCGAGGGAGAGAAATCCTTTCTTCCTCCCGTTTCGCGCCGCCCCTTTCCCTCGGGCCGCGGCACTCGACCCCGGGAACCGAGGGAGACGACGCGGGCTCGAATGCCCGTTTCGAGTTCCGGAGTCTTTTCAACCGGTAACAAACAAACTATTTCGCAGCCGGATTCCGCTAACCGCGTTCCTCCCGCGAACTCGCGGCTCTTAAATACGTCGACGCGCGGGTCCCGCCGCTTCTCCGCTCCTCGAACGCGCGACAACCTCTGCTCTTCTCCCCGTTCCCAAACACGATCGTCGCCGTTTGCTTCGCCCGCGAACATCTTTCCGCGAGAATCGTTGAACTCGTCGGAGGAGCACCGACGGATATGCTGTACCGAAAAATCATTTTCGATTACCGGGGGAGTTCCTTCGAGCGGACTTCAAAATCTATTTCCCCCGGGAGCCCTCGAACGTGGCCATTGCTCGAAGCGAAGCCGCTGGGAACCGGCTTCGAGACCGCGGTCGTTTCGGTCTCGCAAAGAGAACGCGTCTCGCCTCGCCTCCGTCGCTTCGAAGCACGTTCCGTTCTGGATCCAAGCGATCGAATCGGCGAACGCAGCGAGACGGCAAACAATTGTCGGAAGATTCCTGCCTTGGAAACTCGCGGGTCGTTTGTTCCGCGGCTGACCGAGCCGTAACTTGGCAAAGGAGCTTCCTTTGCTGTGCGATCGAACAACGAAATCCCGGATAGCATTTCTGCTCGGCGTTTCTCCGCCGCCGTGCCGCTTCGGCCCATTGTTTGCTCGCTCGAAGCACGACCCTCGGAGCACGCCGAAACCCTCTTTTAATTAAGACTCCGAGACCCGCAACAGCCCTCGTCCCGGCTCGAACTTCGCGGGCACCTCTCACCCGGCGTGCCGCGACTCGGCCTCTTTCGACCCACTATCCGTAACCTGTGGATCCTCACGGAACCAATTCCAAAGTTTTGCGCGGCTTTCAATGCGGTAACTAATCAGAGAGCACGGATAAGGATCCTCGAGGAGCCTGCTCCGATGAAAACGTCAACAGAGCCGGCGGAACTCGTGATCCGATTCCCGATCCGCGCGATCCTTCGGCGGCAGCTCGGTCCTAGAAAGTTCCACGGTTAAATTCGAGGTAGCGCGCGAATTGTGAACGAAAGAGAAACGTTCAGCGGATAGGAGGAGAACGTTTCGATCGGCTGTTCATGGCAAGCGTGTTCGAAACGCGAGGGAAATCCGGCCGCGCGTGCATTCGGTCGCTACTCTGCATCCGAACGAGTGGACCCGGTGGATGTGATAAATCGGCGGGCGCATTAACGGAAGTTGGTTTTACGAGGTCGTCGAGCGAACGTTATTATACAGTGTACCCCGAACACGAAGATAAGGGTCGGTAAACGCCTCGCCGGAAGATTTTAATGGGGGTGCGCGAGTGCCTGTACGCCTCGTAACCCTCCGTCGTAACTCGGCATTAATCTGCTTCGTGCACACCGCGGCCGGCCTTTCCGTTTCCATTTCGTCGTGTTCTTCTGGCTTGTGGACGTCCTCCCCTGTTCCTCCACGCTCGAAAGGATTATCGAGATTGCCCCGTTAAAATCCGCGACAGTTGATACGCGAGATCTCCGGCCGAGAATACGGACTCGGGCGTAATTCGCGCGAGGGGACCTCGTTGGATCGGCGAACTTTCGAGGTAAACGCAAGGATAAGTGGGAAAACATCGGACGGCAACATTGGCGAGCTTAACTAAAAAGCTTCGCGGACCGAAGCCTCCCGACGCTGGCATAAATTCGCGAAGCTGTCCGAGCTGAAAACTTGGGCTCGCGCCGCATGCATTATTTACGAAGCGAGCCGCGTCTCGTTCTCCGCCGCTTTCGTCGATGCTTCTCTCGCTCTCTCCGGTCCCTGAAAAATTCCGAAAGCCGTGCGTGTAATCAGCGAAACGAGCCCTCGAGTGCTCTTTTCGAAACCCCGGCACCGAGCTCCGGAAACGTCGTTGAAAGTTACCGCGGCGCGCCGGTTCTCGGAGAAACTCTCATAGTTCGCCGAAGGGCTCCGCGAGCTAACTCGATAAAAACCGCAACGCTCTATCATTTTCGGCAGCGAGGCAGCCGCGCGGCTTTAAGATCCTCCAGTCGAATCTCTCCGAACTTGGGCAATTACAAGTTTTTCGTTCTCGAGTTGTTAAGCCGCGCGTCTCGTCTCGGTCTTCCGGGCCGAATCGTCGCTCGCGCGACAGCTGACCGGAGAGATTAATCCGCGAGGATGCTAGAAACATAGCGAAGCTATGTTCGAACCTCGAGAACGTGGTTCACGCTTTAGACAACGCGTCGCTGGAAAAGCGGGATTCGTCGAAGCAACGGGTACATCTCGCTTCTCGTTTTTCGCGTCGCTGGAACCCGGCGAATTTCGTATTCGCGGCAACGGATACGCGCCAAAGAGCTCCCGGTAGTTTGTACAGTCTCGTTTCCGCTTCTTTTTCGAATCGGCGTGCATCGATAATCCCGCGTTTACGTTCGCAAGCTCGTCCCCGTCCGTTTCCATGGTTTTCTCGCCCGAAAACCGATCATCCCTCGAGCAGGCTTTCTATCGGCGCGTCCTTTTCAAGGACCGCCATCCGCCGCTTTATCGCCTTTAATCGACCGACGAGCTCCTAAATTCGCGTCGAATCCGTCGCGACGTAGAGACGTCGCACGAGTTAATTATTCGCGCGTTTTCCGTCGGTTTCCCGTGCCGTGCCGCGGCGGAAGAAGCGCATCGCCTCTGGACATTCCACGGGGATTAAAGGCAGAGGGACGGTCGAGTTGCGCTAATTCTATCGCCGCTTCGAGAGGATTCTCCGTCCGATAGTTTCGGCGATAGAGAGGAACCGGAACGACGGCCAAAAGTGGCCACCGCGCCGCTTTGCCGCGGCGCGGTGCGGTGCGGCGCGGAGCTGCGGCACGTAATTTCGGCTGCTTCGTAACGTTATTCAACGGCCGTCAAATGGACTAATCCGCTTGGACGTTCCAATCTAGATACGGAGGGCTTTGGCTGAACGGATGTGTCGCGTGTTACCGAATTCGGTAGCGAGAGAGAGAGAGAGCGGACGACGACGACGACCGAGCCGGCTCGAAACGAACAAAGCGGCGATCTATCCGATCTAATCGCCGTTTGATCCGCGTTCGCGAGAGGATTAGCGAGCACGATCAATTGGCAGCCTCCGTGTTCTGGCACGCGTTCAAACGCGCCGAGAAACGGATATCCTCGAAAAAGGTCCGGACCCCGGATCTTTCCTCGCGACGCGTTTCCGCATGCGGTGACCGCAACGAAGCGCGCAAATATTTGCGAAGCGCCGAGTGGCTCTCGTCGCGGAGAACCGAAGATCGACAATTTCCAGGAGCGCGTTCGGTGCCGGAGAGGAGCACCGTCCCGACCGGCGTATTTTCGCTCGGCGAGCACCGGAAACGGGAACGCAATCAAAGCCGACGTTAATCAACGGTTTTGCTCGCTGCCCTTTCCGCGGGACTTGGAAAAACCGACCGGAGAAAACTCCGTTGTTGCTCCGCGATCCGGTACACGGTGCTGCTTTTAACGGGTCACGGGTTTTATCTCGGCTCATCTCTCTTCTCTCCCACTTTGCGCCCGCTCTTCCCGGATCTTCGCGAAAATGATTAACCCCCGCCGCGTCGACGTATCCTTAATCGAACTACGGCGCCGTGCAATTTCCGTCCGACATTCGATACTCCCGAACGTTGCCGATCGTCTCGTAACTTCTCGCCTTTTCATCCTTTTCCGTAATAACTCGCCGTATCGCCTTTGTCTGGAAGCTTCGCCGTTGATCGCCGATCGGTCCCGATAACGAAGCAGCAGAGATAAACGTCCGTCGATCGCGAAATCGTGGATCCCGCGCCGCCGAGAAACGAAAGACTGCTCGCGCTGGCACAATTCGTCTCTCGAACGTCGCGGTTAACGATCGCGGCGGCTCCGTATCGGCCGCACATTCGTCTCGTCGCTGACGCTGATCGATGCCAACGATTCCGCGCGGAGAAACATCGACGAGCAGAAAGAGTTGGACGAATAGTTTACACGGTTGTCCCTCCGAAACGCGGAGCATGTTTCGTGCTCGCGGGAATACGCGGCGCGGCAAGGCGAGAGAGAGAGAGAGAGCGCATCGATTATGGCTCGGGGCGATTCGTCCGAGCTTGCAAGAAAATTAAAGTTGTACCTGACGGACCCGTGACCCAAATTATGCTCGAACTTTCTTGGAGCTAGAGGATTCGCGGGTCCGCGTTTCCAGCGTCGTGCCTCGCCTCGCCTCGCCTCGCCTCGCCTCGCCTCGCCGCGAGCCGTTCCGGAACAATCGTCCGGCGACCGTAGGAAAAACGCGGAGAGCAGAGCTGCCGGGATAATTGTTTTACAATGCAACGAATTTGCATGGGAAACGCGATTGTTCGATCGGCCGGGGCAGACGCAATTACTCGCATTCGCTCGGCAGTCGGTCCGCGCGCTCCTTCTTGCTTCTCTCTTAATTGCTTTGAATTTCAAATCGATACCCGTCTCGGTGCTCCTTTGACTTCTTCGTATAATTATTCGACGAACGGGTTACCGTTATCCGCCGTTCGAGACGCGCGGTTCGGTCTCTCTCCCTTATTGTTGGCATTCGCGAAGCGTCGCACGCTNAACTTCTCGCCTTTTCATCCTTTTCCGTAATAACTCGCCGTATCGCCTTTGTCTGGAAGCTTCGCCGTTGATCGCCGATCGGTCCCGATAACGAAGCAGCAGAGATAAACGTCCGTCGATCGCGAAATCGTGGATCCCGCGCCGCCGAGAAACGAAAGACTGCTCGCGCTGGCACAATTCGTCTCTCGAACGTCGCGGTTAACGATCGCGGCGGCTCCGTATCGGCCGCACATTCGTCTCGTCGCTGACGCTGATCGATGCCAACGATTCCGCGCGGAGAAACATCGACGAGCAGAAAGAGTTGGACGAATAGTTTACACGGTTGTCCCTCCGAAACGCGGAGCATGTTTCGTGCTCGCGGGAATACGCGGCGCGGCAAGGCGAGAGAGAGAGAGAGAGCGCATCGATTATGGCTCGGGGCGATTCGTCCGAGCTTGCAAGAAAATTAAAGTTGTACCTGACGGACCCGTGACCCAAATTATGCTCGAACTTTCTTGGAGCTAGAGGATTCGCGGGTCCGCGTTTCCAGCGTCGTGCCTCGCCTCGCCTCGCCTCGCCTCGCCTCGCCTCGCCGCGAGCCGTTCCGGAACAATCGTCCGGCGACCGTAGGAAAAACGCGGAGAGCAGAGCTGCCGGGATAATTGTTTTACAATGCAACGAATTTGCATGGGAAACGCGATTGTTCGATCGGCCGGGGCAGACGCAATTACTCGCATTCGCTCGGCAGTCGGTCCGCGCGCTCCTTCTTGCTTCTCTCTTAATTGCTTTGAATTTCAAATCGATACCCGTCTCGGTGCTCCTTTGACTTCTTCGTATAATTATTCGACGAACGGGTTACCGTTATCCGCCGTTCGAGACGCGCGGTTCGGTCTCTCTCCCTTATTGTTGGCATTCGCGAAGCGTCGCACGCTTCTGGAATAACGTTATACAAGTTGTCCCAGGACAGCTGCTAATGCGCGTCGCGTATTCCGCAACGATTCCGAGTCGAATCGAGCCGCGATCGTCGCGGTTCGATCGGCGGGGATCTCATGGCTCTGCTTCCATTCGGAGATATAGTAATGTCTCCCTAATTCTTGACGCAATTCGTGACTACAAAAATGAACCGCAATGATCGAATAATCGTCTCTCTTCTCCTCCCTAAATTGTTCGTTTTTGTGCACAATCTGAGCGTCGGTTAGGGAGACATTACTGTACTCCCGCGGAAGTTTCCGAGAGCCGACTTTTCGGTTTCCCGTAGGTTGCTCGCGCATTCCATAAATCCCGAGACGCGAGCTTCGAAAGTTTTATCGCGGACCGTCTCGAGACCTAGCGCTCTTCTCCATCGATTCGGACACGGAGCCGTGTGTTTTCATTCGATTTATCCGCGGAACGAGTCTCGCAACGTCGACTTCGCGCGGCCACGGTGCCTCGAGTTCCGGAACGGAAGAAAGGAATTAGAAGTTCTCGACGGTTCCAGCAGCGCCGGACTTCGCGAACAGTAGGAAAAAGTTTCGCGGCGGACGTGCTACCTTGCTCTCCAAACGAGCCCTTTGCGAACGAGGATTTGTTGAAACGCCGAGAACATTTCCACCGAGAACTGGATTATCTTTTAAACGCCCGAATAACGGTAAGAACGCGTTAACCCTGATCGGACTACAGTAACGTCTCCCTTACCGACGTTCAGATTGTCAAGAAAAATGGACAATTTGGGAACAGGAGATACGATTATTCGAGCTTTGCGGTTTATTGTTATAGTCATAAATTGTCCACAATTATAAAAACGAGCCGCGAGGCTCGTACAATCGTATCTCCTCTTCCTAAATTATCCATTATTAGTGGACAATCCGAGCGTCAGTAAGGGAGAACATTACCGTGTCCTCGCTATCGGCGAGAGGAGCCGCGCCGTATTCGAATCGAAGTCGCGAATTCGATGCGGTTCCGATAACGCGCGGCCGCGACGACGTTTTTACGCCACGAAACCGCCATCCGTTTCCCTAACGACTGCGATTACGCAAAAATATACGGGACGCGAGGAGGGCATACATCATCGGCGGCTTCCCGACTTTCGCGCGCGCGCGACTTTCGGTCGAACAAAAGTCTCGTCGTTCTTCTTTAGAACGGGTGGATGGAGGGGGGAGGGGACCAGTAATCTCTCTTCGTTATTGTTCGCCGCGCGGAATGGACCGTCCTCGAACTCGTCGACTCACCGCTCTTTTCTTCGCTCCTCGAAACGCGGCAAATATATTAGACACGCGAGCGAGACGATCTGACAGCGTGACGCGAGTCGCACTGGGAAAATAATGAATCGCGACGAAGACGAAGCGCGAACGCGGGGGTGTCGATGCGGCTTCCGCTTCGGAGAAGGGCGCGGAAGAACGCGCGGAACACGGGGCACCGTGACGGGGCGTCAGGTTTCGAGGAATATTAATGGCCGACGTGACGGAGCAGCTGCGCGATTCGGAAACGTTGACGCGATATTGCGCGAACAACCCTCGAACATTGACGCTCGATACGAGTCCGTCCGAGCGCGAGTACAATTTCGCGATATCGCGCCGGCTACGCATACCTAATATCGCGCGCCGCCGTCCTGCCCTCGCGTCCCCGTTCCGAGATTGCATTTCCCTGCAATTGCGTTCGCCCTCGTTGCCTGGTTCCAATTTTTCGAGATTCCGACGGATCGTCGCTGCCCGCCGCATTGGTCCGCGAAGCGCAACCAACAGCGGAGGCTCCGACATTCGTCGACGGACACAGCAGCTGGCTTAATTAGAGGCCGACGCGTTACCGATATCCCGAGTCAAGCTCGCGTCTTCGGTTTCCCTCGAATTCCCGATCGATCGGCCATTTCGGTTGCTGCGACAATCGAACAGCCCTGTGCCAGTTCGAGGACCCCTCTCGATTCGATCCCTTCGAACAGCGAGCGTTCCTCGAGACGTCCACCGTCTCCGCGATTCGTCGATAGATCGAAGACTCTCGGAATTGCCGGGTGTCCGTCGGTTGTCGAGGCGATGTCGATGGACGCTCGAGTTAATTGTCTCGATAGGAATCGTTTTTCCCCGATGCGCGGAAAAAGGGGCCGCCGATGGAAATCGATTACAAAGACTTAATTAGCGCCGCGCGTTTCGCAGCGACAATTAGTGCTCGGCATCGGCTGTAAATAAAATAATCAGCGAGCGAACTCGAACAGAGCGGACGGGACTCGGACGGAAGAAAAAAAAAACGCTAATTATTCCTGGCGACGCGAATTACGCGTCCGGGCGACCGTGCAAATCCCGGAGTACGCTGTAATTAAATGGAATTAGCCGCGCACGATTCGCGAGAAATAATCGATGATCCGGCAGCGGTATATACGAATGGTTAACGGAGTCAAAAACCGAGTAGCGCGACTCGATGCGATTCGGTCCGAGTGCGGTTATGTCAAGGTTATATTAACGTTCAGCCTCGAGTCCCCGAGCATTTAACGTTTCTCTCGTAATCGCGCGATCGCGAACGCGATCGAAAACCTCGGACGTTTCCGCGCGATTGAAAGATCGTCGCGCGACTCGGCGAACCGATTCGAACGTCTCCGCTTTCCCGATTCCGGTCGCTTTCGAGAGGTCGTCGAATTAAAAGACTTCTCGATGATCCCGCCGTATCGAAAAGTGTATCTTAATCATTTTCCTTTCAACGACGATCTCGAGAGAACGTTCGACGGAGACCCTTTGCTCGAGGTATTTCGAGCGTCGCACGATCGATTCCCACCGTTTCCCTGGCCAAGAAGAATCGAGGCCGATTAAACAAATTTCTGTACCATTTCTCACAATCGAGATAGAAAATCCTCGCTGCAACGTCCGGATGAACGTGCCGTAAGCCAAGCTTCGTCGAGTTTGCGTTTATCCGGTGTCTCTGCTCGAAAGAAACTGCCGGCTCTCGGCTGGTCGTCGATCCTGGAAATAATCTTTCCCGCGTAAGTGTCCTGTAGCACAGAGCCGGGCGAGTCGGAGCAGATAAGCCGAGAGAGAGAGAGAGAGAGAGAGAGAGAGAGAGAGAGAGAGAGGGGAAGAGAGGACAGGTCGCGGATATCGTGTTTCAACGTTAAGTCCGGAAAATCCTGAACGTCGCGCTCCTCGAGTATTGCAGTTAGGCTCGCCGCTGACGAGCAAGTTTTCCGCGCAGCCTGTTCCGAAATTACGCGAGGAAAGCCGGAAAAACGAGCAGAAGGAGAAAGACGAAGGACGAGCGAGAAGGGAGCACGCCACCGAGTCGTTGTCCCTGAAAACTGATGGACGATGATACGCTGCGCGGGACGCGGAATGCAAATCGAACGGAGCCGGGCCTCGGGGAATAGAAGGAACACGCGTTCGAAGGATTTCCGGCCGTTCTCGAACCGGTTCCCTCGTTCCTCGGTCTTCCGCCGGCTTCCGAACAATGGAAGCTCTTTGTCGCGAGCTCGATCGTTACCGCGAGAAGGGACAAAGCTTCGTTCTTTCGGCCAGATCCGCTCGCCGAACGCGCGAACCGCTGCACCGCGCGTCTTGCACTCGCGAGACGCGCTCGGTCGCGTACGGTTCAAAGAACCGCGTCGACGAAGCAAAAGTTATCGTTCCGGATCCGTTTAAAAACGACTCGCTTGTTCGGGCCGTGCTCTTTTGTCTCGTTCCTTGCTGGAATTCTATCCGGAGACTTCGCTTTTCATTCGGCTTTGCCCGAAGAATGCGCCGCAGCGGCGGGGACATTTTGCACGCATGACGGGAGAAATTTTCGCATTGCACTCAGGACTCGGAGCTGTGCATTTCCCTGGGGCTGAGCCTGCAGTACCTTCGGATGACGGTGGTCTGCTGGCTGGCGGCGATGTGCCATCACCTGTACGCGACGGTCGCGTCGATCCCGCGACGCGACGACCCGCCGACCTACCTCAAGTACAGCCTGTTCGCCTGGGGTGCGCCTTTCCTGAACCTGGGGGTCGCCGTCTTTCTGCAGATCCGAGAGGCCTCCGACATCTGGAACGTCAAGGACCTCACGCCGTACAACTGCTGGTAAACGCGCGTTTTCTCTTCCCTCGCTTCCGCCACGCCGTCGAATTAAACTCGGATTTAACGGCGTCGCGGATCATTTTCTTTTTTTAACCGCGAACGACTCTTCGACGCGACGAAATTTAGCGCGCCGATATTTCCAGCAATTTCTCCCGAATTTTCCTTCGGCTTGCGAACACAAATGAACGATTCGAGAAGAGAAGATACGATTGTTCCAGCCCCATTTTTATAGCCGACGATTGCCAACGATTATAAAAACGAGGCGCAAGGCTCGGATAATCGTATCTCCTCTGTTCCCAGATTGTCCATTTCTGTCTCTAAGCTGTAGGAAGATTGGGGAGGAGATTCACTGCACACTCGGAACTTCGGCGAACGTCGTCGCGAAGAGCTTGTCTCGCCGACAGCGACGCGCATTTTCCGTCGCGGCTTCCGAAAATCCGGCGAAAAATCGCGGGCAATGTTTCGTCGACGACGTCTTTCGTTAGCATCGTTTCCTGTACGCGACGCGGACGTCCGTTCCAGTTTACGATAAAAGCCGTGGAACGGTCCGCGCGACCGGCTTCGTACATAAAATAAAAGTATATCTAGCCGAACAAGGGCACGCTGGAATAGGGTATTACGCGGGGAATATGGATGAGATGATCCTCCGGCTGGAAAGTCTTATCTCCGCGCGGCCGCGTCGCTTTCTCCAATATTTTCGAGCCAGCCGAACCCGTATTTCCGGGCTCGTCCTTTTATCTCCGGTCCTGGCAAATTTCGCGGGGCGCATCCCGATACCGAATCGTATTTCCCTTTTGGTTTCGCTCGTCGGCTTCTCTCTCTCTCTTGCCCTCCCTCGCCCCCCTAACTCCTCGTGTTCCGTAACGATTCCGGAGATACGCGGGGAAAGTCCCGCTGGAATTCGACGGTTACGGGGGCGAGGGTGACCGGAAAAATGTTGCCGGGACCCCAGCTGCTTCCCGTTTCCGTTCCCGTTCATAACAGGGAAATTCTCGGCGGTTCCAGGTTCCTGGGAACGAAGCCGACGATTTACGCTTACGGGCTGCCGGTCGTGCTGCTGCTGCTGTCCGCGTGCTACTATCTGATCAAGGCTGCAATAGTGTCCAGGTATCGTACGTTTCATCGAATGAACCGGGATCGGAGCGCCCGTCCTTCGATCGCTCCGAAGTCCTTCCTTCGATCGCTTCGCCGTCCTCCACGATTCCAATCGGTCCATTTTTCGACGCGAAATATCCCCGCGATTTCTGCGCAGGTACACGTGCAGCATGCAGCTGGAGATCAAGCAGCGCGAGAAGATGAAGAGGAGGAGAGCGCTCCAGTTGATCCTCTTTCTGAAGGTCAGTATGATCGTGGGCCTGGTGGCCGGCTGCGGAGTCGCGTCCAGAGTGTGGAAGGTTCCCTTCCTTTGGGCCGTTTTCTGCACAGGACACTCCCTGCAGGTGAGACACTCGCCCTTTTCCTCCGTCGATTCGATCCTCGCTTAGCCGTCGACGATCCGACACGATTATTCGCGTAGATTTGGAAATGATCGAATTTTTACGACGATCCACGACGTCTTCTCGACTCGATCGGTATATCCGCGAGACCTACGAATATCGAGAAATTAACCGACGCGCCGATCGAACTTCTCAATTTTTCATCGAGCAAGGTGCTCGAATTTCGCGAGATTTTTGAGACCGTCGGAACGCCGGTCGAACCGTTAACCGAGCAAGGACCCGCGACGATCTTCTACGCTCAGTTTGTCGAATCAATTGTACGCTCGTTTCGTTGAACGGAGCGTAGGTTCTGAAGGGCGGTTAACGTCGATGGCATATATCTCTCGGAGGATAGGAACTGGTACGCGGCCCTCGACTCTGCGTTCGGTTAAATCAACACAGGGAAGATACTTGCCACGGCGCGAGAACACCTACTAATCCTCGTGCGGTAATTGCAGCCGCGTTTGTCGGCTTATCAAGAGTTTGCTACGCCCGAGGCGAGCGCGACTGCCGCGTGCTGGAGCGTCTTCGCGAAGCAGAGCGAGTTGGACGGAAGCGCATACCTTCGAGCGTCGCGAAACGTCACGGAACGTCGCGAAACGTCGCGTCGGGACAAGAAAATTCGAGATCCGGAAATTCGAAAAGCCTGGCGCGCTCGTCTCGAGGGTAAAAACGCCCTCGCGAAACAGCCCCGCGCAACGACGAAAGCTTCGGTCGAGATCGAGAAGCTTTTGCGGCTGTTCTGGAGCGGAATCCTCGGCCCGGGTACGGTCTAGGGCTTCGTAGACTAACCGGACTTTCGCGACGGAACGGAAACCGTAATCGAGTCTGTACGTTTGTTTCGGTGTAACTCGACGATATCGTTGTCGGAACCGCAATAATCGGCACGCGAAGCAACGGTAGACACGGAGGCGGTTATTCGATTTCTATCTACCTTGTAACGGACCGTAAACGAATTAGCAGAACGGGCCGCTAAAAGTCGACAAATAAGAAGAAGAAGAAGAAGCAGCAGCAGCTCCGTCGAACGGAGAGGAGTCGATAACGACGTTAGCGGAATCGCACAGGTCGCAGCTGCGGGATTATTTGGTGATAAGTTTGCTTGTTTGTTCCATTTGTTCCATTTGCTCGGCTCCCTCCATTTGTTCGGCGATCGATCGCGGGACAGGGTCTGGCCGTAGCATTGTCCGTCGCGTGCAACTGCAGGGTCCTGAAGGTCTACGCCAGGAAGTCTTACAGGCAGCCGAAGCAGCAGGTAAATCTGTCTTGAAGCGGCGAGGAGGAGGCGCGTGCACGATCGAACCGTCTCCGATCGAATCCTCTCCGGAATTTTCCTTTATCTGTCTCACGATTGGACCAAGGAGGAATCCCTCCCGTAGCCGGTCGCGCAACCCGTAATTTACCTCTGTAATCTCTGTCCGGCGCTGCTCCAGTTTCCCCGACAAATTTATTAGCCGAGCGAACCCTTTCTCCGCCTCGCGATTTTACGGAAAATGTCGATACACGCGGCTCCGCGAGATACCGGTCGCTGCTGTTCCTTGAGAAAAGACAGGGAGCAAAGAGAGAGAGAGGGAGATAGACTCCTCGCGCAAGCCGGATTCCTTGCAACTTACATAGTTTAATTTCTCCGCTCCGACAATATTGACTACACGCGCGCGGGTTCGACTTTATCGCCGCGAGCCGGATTTCTCCTGGATAAATCGATGTACGACGAGAGTTCGCGACTGCCACGGAGCCGAAGAAGATATTTGTACCGGAGGAAAATCCCGACGGAGATTAGCGTCTCCGCCGACCTTACGCTACTTTTCGGAAGCCGTCTTTCTTGCTTCGAGCGAACCGACGCGGCCGGGTAAAACGGTACGAATCGATCGTCGCTCGATCGTTCGACGGACCGATCCGCTCGCACACGCGCACAAATCACAATCGAATTTCGAGCGAACGATCCATCCGTCCGCAGGAAGCTCGAGCATTCCGAGGATCGAACGCGGGCCCGCCATGCTAGACTGCGAATCTTTATGCAAATTGCCGCGCGCGCGGGTTATTCTATAAAAGACAGATCATCGCGAGGGGAAAATCTCTCCGAGAACAAGGAAGATCCGCGGTCTATCGGCCGCCGATTCCGACTCGAATCCAACGCGAATTCAACCGCGAAAATCGTTGTTCCAGATCGCGCGATCGAGCAGCAGCTTGCAATTGCTGGCCCCCGCCCCGGACCCGGTCTAGATCGACGGAAGCTGCCCGAGAGAATCACCATATCCAAGGAGTTCGACTATTTTTTCACGAAGGGGCCCCACGGAGTTTCCGATCGGGGCGACCGCCGCGATCGGAGATTTGGGAGACTCGCGGGAAGGGCGCTCTGGGTGCGATCGATTCGACGGACAGCCCGGCGACGAGGCACGACGATCGGAGGAATACCGGAGCATCGACTTCCGGCGTTTCCCGCGTTCCAGCGATGCCCGATCCGATACGACCCGACCCGACCCGATTCGATCCGGCTCGAACCGGGCTTCGTCGATCGAAGAAACGCGACCGCGAACCGGACTCTGGCTCGCGTCGAGGAAAAGCGGCGAGAAAGACGCGAGTGTAGACGGAGGAACGAAGAGGGGGGAAATGTATACGGGTGGAGAAACGAGGACTCCTCCCCGAAACCATCTATTCTGCTTGACCAAACGATATACGATCCATAGGTCGAAGGTGTTTCCTCCGCGTGATTTACTCGGTTACCCGCGGAACGTAAACGATGGGGGATCGTTTGCGCGCCTATACCGGCGCAAAACCGACGCCGTTCGTTCGGAACGAGCGTAACGAGACCACGGGACTCGAGATCGGCGCAACATATCGTCGCAAATATCGCGGATCTCGCCGCGCGATCCGCGATCCGAATCGATCGCGCGAGAGCAGTTTCTGACATATCTTCGTTCGTTCTCCGCCGATTTCCAGCTCGCTTCGACGCCTTTTGCCATCCGTCACGGGCTCGTGGTATATTTTTCTATTCGCGTCGGACCGGAAGCGTCGTCTCGCCGCGTCTCGGTTCCGGAAGATGCGTCGGTGGCCGAGTTTTATTCGAGATCTCGCGGTAAACGCGCGGAGGAAACGACGGCGATCGCTTTCGAGATTATAGAACGCGTCCATTTCGTTCGCAAAAACGCGTTTCGAACGCTGAACTTTGGGAGAAACGACCGCGAAGCGCGTTCGCGCGGTCGTCGAGAGATTCCGCTCGCGCGGAAAGAGATAGCACGGCGACGCCTTCGAATCCCGAGGACGCAGCGACGAAACGGAAGAACGATCAGGCTTCTCCGGGTGGTTCGCTGGCGAACGAGAAACGAGACGCGGGAAACCGGGAATGGAACACGGCTGGGTATCGATCTAGCGAGGAAGGAATCTAGCCGCTTTGTATTTGCGCGCGTTCCCCGCGGTTTATGCGGCCGACATTCCGCCGCGATGCAATTAACACTCGGTAATGACCTATGCGATCGCATCGGCACGCGTAACCACCGGCACTCCGTAAATGTAAGCGCATGTAATTACGACGAAATAATAAATATTTTGAAGTCCTGTAGCCGAGGATATCTCCGAGCGTGCGTCCCCTTGGCCGTTGTCCACGAATTTCCCATCCCGCCGGGCCGCCGTCGGGCCGCCGCCGCCGCCGCCGATATTCCGAGGCCGCGGCTTCCCGAGCCCCGTAATCGAATTTCCCGGCTGGATCTCGAAATCAGTGGGCGTTGCCACTCTAATTGCGAGAACAATTCATTTACACGAGGTCGCCCGGCGCGGCGTTACGCCGATAACCGAGTATTCCCTCAGGTAACGAACAAACAGTTTCGAGCCATCGGCGGAGAATTATTGGACGAGAAAACTCGCGCGGCGAAATATCGGCCCGGCGAAATTGGAACGCGCATCGGGAATCGTAAAAACGATTAGCCGAGAGGCGGGCTCGGGGACCGACCGAGAAAACGTACAGCTGGACGCGTAATTATCGGCGATGCCGATCCGATTTAATGCCACGGCGATACGTAAGACGAGATTGCGAGACTTCGTCGGGCTTACCGAAGAATCCGCGTCGCGCGGCGTCCCTCGCCCACGATCGAAACTCTTTCTATCTCGATAACGCGCCCGGAACTTTTTCCAACCGTTCCCGCAACTTTCTGAACGGCGACCGACGCCGAGCTTCGTTGTATATCGTGCCCGTCGATTCACGATTATTTCGTCGCACGGTAATTCCGCCGCTTCGTTACGACCGCCTCGAACGGCTTATTAACGCTCAGCGACTTACGAACGTACGCTCGTCCGCGACGCGGCGACAATCGCTTCTGCGACGACTTCCGGGAGCACGTTCCCTCAGAATCGCTTCGTTATCCGGTCGACTTTGTGTCGCTTAACGAGCGCTTTCATCGCTAAAGCCGGCGGCTCGATCGTTCGTCGCGACGCGACGCGATGCGACGGCGAGGTGCGACGCGATCAGACGCGACGATATCGGATGCGTCGATATCGGATGCGACGATATCGGATGCGTCGATATCAGACGCGACGCGATCAAACCCGACGATATCGGACACGACGATATCGGACACGACGTTATCAGACGCGACGGGACGAAACGAAATGAAACGAGACGAGACACGCGCGACAAGGGAACAGCCGGAGGAAGAGAATCGTAGGCCCGACGCGAACGTCCTTCGGCCGGCGGCTGAAACGTCCGTGTCATCTCGTGCCGTCGTACGGGGATCCTGACATTTAATTATCGAGAAGCACCGGGACGGGTGGAGTCGGCCAACCAGCCGCGCCCGTTTATTCTCTTTGCTCGCGAACGGCCTCCCATGTCGGACAAACGTGCCGGCAAGATTAACCGAGAGAGAGCAACGGCGATCGAACGAACATCGTGCTCGAAACCGCAATTGTGTTCCGTAGAAGTCGCGATCCGTTCCGATTTCATCGAACGACTTTAGCCGCGTCTATAGCCCTGCGTCGAGTCGGTTCAAGGCTTTTTCGAGCCTCCAACCCCCGGGTGGGGGTGTCGTCGAGTCGCTGTTTTTCTCTGCCGGCGTAGGTCGAACGCGGCGCGCGGCCGTCCGGTCTGATAAATGGTGTCTGAGGTAATAACGAAAGACGTTTATTTTCCGCCGCGGCGCGAATGAATTCCGACAGCGAAAAGTTCACGGCGTGTGCCATCTGCACGGAGGAGGAGGAGGAGGAGGACGGTGTTCCCGCCGAAACTTGTTCGCGCGAGCCGTTAACGTCGTTCCCGGGAACGAGCCGCGTGGAACGAAATTGCCGCGGAGAACTGTCTCTTCTTGGTCGCGTTATCGCTCGGAAAGTTTTCGCTTAACGCTCGTTAACTTCGCGCTCGCGCTCGCGATCGCGCGAAACGCCGTGGCGGAACGCGACCGTCGCGAAGCACGACACCGCGAGGCGCCGCGGGAATTCGTGATGGACATCGGCAACGAATGGAACATCGGTCCCGGCGGACTTCGAGAGAAGCGAACGGAGTCCGGTGTCCCAAACGCTCCCGTAACTTTTCGCCCGAGGAAAACATGTTTTGGAAGATCGAAAGGCACGGGGCGCGCACCACCGTGTCTCCCGGTCTCTCTGGAAAACGAAAAAATGCCTTCCGGAGCCCGGACGTCTGGAGCCCTTGCGCATCGATCCGTTTACGAGCGCGCGGAGACGACGTCCTCGACGTCGTCGGCTCGAGGCTGCGGTAATCCGTAGACGCTCCTGGTAATGTCTCCCTAATCGACGCTTGGATCGCGCGCAAAAATGGACAATTTGGGAAGAGCAGATGCGATTATTATTCGATTACTATTCGCGATTATTACTCGTGACTATAAATATGAACCGTAAGGATGAATCGTATCCCCTCTCCCTAAATTGTCCATTTTTCGTGGACAATCCGAGCGTCGATTAGAGANATCGTATCCCCTCTCCCTAAATTGTCCATTTTTCGTGGACAATCCGAGCGTCGATTAGAGAGACATTATTGTATTGGGTTGGCAACGAAGTGATCGCCGATTCGTTCAATGAAATACAAAATTTTTTTTACTTGGAACGAAGTTTAATCTGTAATATATTTTCCATTTTGTTCGACGACCTTTTGTCATCTCTCCGACAACTTGAAAATTCCACGCTCGTAGAAAGTCTGATCCTTTTCGGCCGAAAACTGAGTTAAGTGAGATTTTACAGCGTCATCGTCGTTAAAAGTTTTACCACGAAGGGAGTTGTCCAGGGATCGAAATAAGTGGTAATCCGATGGCGCGAGATCAGGGCTATACGGTGGGTGTAACGTCGATTCCCAACCAATATCCATGAATTTTTGCTTTGCCGAGTGGACAAAGACGTGTGCGGCCTAGCATTGTCCTGCTGGAAAATGACACCTTTACGCTGCATTCAATTTGTCCAGTTGCTAACATTCGCGGATAATAAAAAATAACATAATAATAATAATAATAATAATTTTATGATATAACATTTACGGATATCACAAAAATGGGAGTGATAGACGTCTATAACTGAAATCGGCAATTACTTAGTACAACTTATTACAACCCACATTACAACTTATTACAACCCAATATTTCTCCATCGAGTCCGATGGCAGGATCGGCGTCGATCTCGGAAAGATGGATCGAAGAGCGCGCGAGAAAGCCACGGATATCGTAAAATAGCCGAAAGCATCCGGCTCGCGAACGTCGAACGACGGAACAAGCTGTCTCTAGATTTGGTCGTGCGTCTTTTCGCTGGCACGGTATCGGCCAACTCCGATGCGGCGGGAAGAGTCTTTCGTGGTTTCTCGGATGTCTCGCCGGTGACAGCGCGCGGAGAGGTTCGAAGAGCCGCGGGGGTGCGAGGAGGCGGCGCGTTCGATTCGCCTTGTCGGCTCTTATCGTTCCTTTGCACAAAGGGCGCGGGAGCACGCGGCTTAAGTCGTTTGTTCCGGGTTTCCCGTGAAACTGAACCGCCGGCACTCGAACCTGTCGCGACTCGCGACGCAACGAGAATCAACGGGACCCGACGCGACACGAATTCAACGCCGCTCGGCGCTCTCCATTGTTCCCTTCTATATAGAACAATACTGTGAAAAGGAAATTTTCATTAGCACCGTTCCGGTTCGCTCGAAATCACGGGCGAAGGTGGATGGATGGAATAAACCGAGACTTTGACTTTGCACGGAATGCTTTAATTACGAGGCCAATTAAGTTGTTCGTTCGAGACTCCTTTCCCTGGAGCGATCGATCACCAAACTCCCGCTTCTCTGTCCTGTGGAGAGGGAGGATCTCTATTTCGTACGGCGCGAAACGGATCGAAGAATTGTATCGATGTCTCGAGAAGATTTATGCTCGACAGACTTCGCGTTACAACGAACATTTCGGTAATAATAATAATAATTATTGTTACAACGAACATTTCGGTAATAATAATAATAATAATGGACGGAAATAGTAGAACGGGAACACGTGGCTTCGCGTGGATTCGGGCTTGGGAAACTGCCATAGGTACGTATGTATGGATGCGTGTATAATATCTGATCGAACACGAGAATCGCATTACGGACCGACCGGGTAAGTATGGAGAATGAAAATGTTCGACCAGTTCGTGAATCGACCGAAGCGGAACCGTTTCCCCAGGCTATTCGTCGCGTCGACCGAATCGAACTCGAATCGACGATTTTTCGTTGGAACACGTAAGTATGAGGTAAGTATTTGGTTAAATTAGAGGCTCGGACGAGAAGGTTCAACAACGTAAACTTTTTATTCGTTTACGCCATTTTAAGCAAATACAATTTTTGCTATCAAAACGTTTTTCTAACGTCTAAATAACAGTCGAGGCATTTAGTTCATTTTTTAAAATGCTATTCTCTTTGACAAAGTAGTATAAAGACACGTGCAATGCGTTCTATTCAATTCATTTAAATACTGCAATTAATTGTACTAAATTGTTCGCGTCGCGTTAGTAATAATATCTTAAAACGATATGTAACGATTTAAATATTCCCGCGCTTTTTTACGGCCTCCGTACAGCGCCAATTAGTCGGGTGACAAAACGCTCAAACTGTTAGCCAAACAGTGGCGCCTCTTGCGGCAGAAGCTGGAAGCTCCTTTCGAGGTCCGTACAGCGCCAATTAGTCCCGTGGCAAAACGCTCAAACTGTTAGCCAAAACAGGATTTCCAAATTTCACCGCAAGTGGCGCCACTGTTTGGCTAACAGTTTGAGCGTTTTGCCACCGGACTAATTGGCGCTGTACGAACCCCGAAAGGAGCTTCAGTTTTTCTCCGCAAGAGGCAGCACTATGAGAAAAAAGCGCGGTAATATGAATGTAATTAAATGCAATATGAATAATATTGCATTGTAATGAGCTGCGTTGCGATTAAAATGCGACAAGAAAAATTTACTAATGTTTACTGCATGGTTCAATTAAATTGTAGAACGCACCGCATAGTGGACAATATTTTTTATTAAATTCATATCGATATAATACAGATTACGTACGCAGGCAATATTTACAATGGAAGGTTGGCAAATATTAGAACGTTTACTATCTCGCAATTAGTTTCGATTTAGTCACCGGAACCTATCCTTATCAGCTAACGCGCGGAAGATAAATTCTCGTTGAATAATCCGATATAAATAACTATTAACTCACAGTCGGTATTATTAACGCTTGATAAAAAGTTCCGGGATGTGCGATCATTTTTTCTTACCATTGCGTCAACCTTTGGGAAAAGCACGAATAAATCTTTCTCTATTTCAGCGACTCGTTAAACGTTAGTTTACTGAAAAATCTGTTAATCGTTGTTCTTATACTCTTCTATTTATTACTCTCCCCTCTGGTCGGGATTCGCGAGACTTCGAGCCTCGAGCCAACAAATACATATGTACTGCGCGTTCATTACATCCGTTTAAGCCGTTTAAGGAATGTACTTGGTTCTACTTTTAACTCCGCGTCATCATTGGACAAACACAATGATCGAACGGAACCGTCCAATTAACGCCGCGGTCTTGGCGAACTAACTTGTACATGCGTGCGTGTGTCGAGCATATACGGAAATAAAAAAAACCTCCGTTATGTGCCGAAGCAGGCCGATGAATTTTAACTTCTGTTCCGTCTCTGTACGTGCCCGCAGTATTAGTCGCTTCGCGTGGCTTTGCTTCGCGTGACAGTAGGGAAACATTCTAAGCGCCAGGAGATGCGCGGCGAGGCTATCGCATGTTTCAGTTTGCCGAACGAAGGTTCTGCGTGTCATCGATGGTAGGTGGTACGGTTGCTTCTCATGGTACGCCCACTCGTTTGTTAATGTAACAATGTGAAAGTAAATAATTGCCCGAATACGTACACAGGCGGTGCGCGAATGTTAGTTATCTGCGTGGAGACGAGAGAGTGCTCTGGCCTCCTCCGANTCCCGTGGCAAAACGCTCAAACTGTTAGCCAAAACAGGATTTCCAAATTTCACCGCAAGTGGCGCCACTGTTTGGCTAACAGTTTGAGCGTTTTGCCACCGGACTAATTGGCGCTGTACGAACCCCGAAAGGAGCTTCAGTTTTTCTCCGCAAGAGGCAGCACTATGAGAAAAAAGCGCGGTAATATGAATGTAATTAAATGCAATATGAATAATATTGCATTGTAATGAGCTGCGTTGCGATTAAAATGCGACAAGAAAAATTTACTAATGTTTACTGCATGGTTCAATTAAATTGTAGAACGCACCGCATAGTGGACAATATTTTTTATTAAATTCATATCGATATAATACAGATTACGTACGCAGGCAATATTTACAATGGAAGGTTGGCAAATATTAGAACGTTTACTATCTCGCAATTAGTTTCGATTTAGTCACCGGAACCTATCCTTATCAGCTAACGCGCGGAAGATAAATTCTCGTTGAATAATCCGATATAAATAACTATTAACTCACAGTCGGTATTATTAACGCTTGATAAAAAGTTCCGGGATGTGCGATCATTTTTTCTTACCATTGCGTCAACCTTTGGGAAAAGCACGAATAAATCTTTCTCTATTTCAGCGACTCGTTAAACGTTAGTTTACTGAAAAATCTGTTAATCGTTGTTCTTATACTCTTCTATTTATTACTCTCCCCTCTGGTCGGGATTCGCGAGACTTCGAGCCTCGAGCCAACAAATACATATGTACTGCGCGTTCATTACATCCGTTTAAGCCGTTTAAGGAATGTACTTGGTTCTACTTTTAACTCCGCGTCATCATTGGACAAACACAATGATCGAACGGAACCGTCCAATTAACGCCGCGGTCTTGGCGAACTAACTTGTACATGCGTGCGTGTGTCGAGCATATACGGAAATAAAAAAAACCTCCGTTATGTGCCGAAGCAGGCCGATGAATTTTAACTTCTGTTCCGTCTCTGTACGTGCCCGCAGTATTAGTCGCTTCGCGTGGCTTTGCTTCGCGTGACAGTAGGGAAACATTCTAAGCGCCAGGAGATGCGCGGCGAGGCTATCGCATGTTTCAGTTTGCCGAACGAAGGTTCTGCGTGTCATCGATGGTAGGTGGTACGGTTGCTTCTCATGGTACGCCCACTCGTTTGTTAATGTAACAATGTGAAAGTAAATAATTGCCCGAATACGTACACAGGCGGTGCGCGAATGTTAGTTATCTGCGTGGAGACGAGAGAGTGCTCTGGCCTCCTCCGACACGTACAAATGATCGTGTTTCGTTGGACGATTCTTTACGGGCGTTGCGGGACAGCGGTTTATCGCATGATTCTGTGAACCGTCGGTATCGAAGCAATTATGAGCGTGTTATGTTCCGGACCCCGTTGGCGGTTAACTGTCAACTGTCAATCGGAGATCTAACGTAGGCACTCCGGCCGCGCCGTTTCTTTTAACGACATTAATGTTGTAAGTGAGTTAAACGCCCTCCCGCAGACTCGCGCGTTCGTCATCGTTTGTTTATGTATACGGAAACGTTGCTATCGCGCAGCCGAGTTTTCAATGTTTGATCTACGATGTTTATCATCGAATGACAGAGGCACTCTATGACGCGTACACTTTAGTTTCGAAATAGTTGGCTCGCTGTCTTTTGCGCGGGGCGTTTCTTCGCTCGTGAATGGCATCGGTAAAACATTGTGTTAATTGAAACGATCATTCTTTCATTTGCACCGTTCCCACTCGATACAACGATCAAGGAGCACTATCTGTTATCTTATACGAATCGTTTCCCTCCTATCTGGCCGATATTCATTGCGTTTGTTTGTTCCAGACGATTGAAAAGATGCCATGGCGTCCTCAGGATCGCATAATGGGGATGCTGATACGGAAAGCAATAAGTTCGAGGGCTCGAAGATCGACCGACACGGGTTCCTTCGAAGGGATTCCTCCAACTATAGCACGGACAGGTGAAGAAACCTTTAGGAATATTTTAATCGAAGGGTTCGCAGCCACGATCGCGCGGTAGACTCTTTAATTCTGACGTTTACTTATAGACACTGACCTTGTTTATGACATTTTTGTTGGCACAAAATATTAGCCTCGCGAAACAGGGAATACCTCCGGAGGTAATGCTGAGGAGAGAAAGGAAATGGATACAGATGCTTAACAATTGGAAGCATTTCATGAACACGAACTATCGTAAAGTTAGAGAACGATGCAGGAAGGGCATACCGCCGTCCGTGAGACTCAGAGCATGGTTGAACCTGTGCGGCGGTCAGCTGTTGATGGACACGTATCCGAATCTATTCGAAGAACTGGTAGAACGATCCGGCGACCCTAAATATATAGACGACATTAAGAAGGATCTCCATAGACAATTTCCGCATCATGTGATGTTCATCGGCGAAGCTCCTGGCCAGGAAGAATTGTTCAAAGTACTAAAGGCGTATTCCATTTTAAATAGTACGGTCGGCTATTGCCAAGCTCATGCGCCCATCGCCGCATTTCTGTTGATGCACATGCCGACGGTACAAGCGTTCTGGTGCCTGGTTGCGATATGCGATAAATATCTGGTCGGGTATTATAGCCAAGGAATGGAGACGTTGCTCCGCGACGGAGACATCCTGTTTGCTCTTCTGAAGAGAGTGTCTCCTATTGCCTATAAACACCTGGTAAATATAGGTTTCGTTCTATGCACACGAATTCTCCGTTAATGTTATAAAAACGTTCGTACTCTTCTTTCGATTTGTCTATTTAGAAGAAACAAAAGATGGAGCCGATAATGTACATGACTGAATGGTTCTTGTGTGTTTATACGCGAACACTGCCATGGGAAAGTATCTTGCGAGTGTGGGATATGTTTCTCTGCGAGGGAGTTAAAGTTATATTTAAAGTAGGATTAGTATTGTTAAAAGGCAGCTTGGGACGTGCATCGTTAGTTAAACGTTGTCCGGCGGTTTACGAAACGCTGGAAGTATTAAGAAATCCTCCGCAGCATATTATGGAGGAGGAGGCTCTGGTCTATCAGGTAAAGCAGAGGAGCGATAATTATTTTCATGGTGAAACGCGTATCATTAACATGCAACTACGATCATTCAGATCCGGAAGTTGAATCTGTCCGAAGAAGACTTCGAGTACGAGCATCAACGTCAAGTGCTGAAACGCAAAGCGGAACAAGCTGCTTCTCCTGCTAATCGGACAGACTGATTAGAAGAAAAAGAAATAGCTTGTAATACGAGTAATATGTAACGAGCTTACAGGTATTACTCCCAAAGCGTGCCTTCCTTTATATTCTTCGTATTTGTACAGACCACATTTATCTAGTTAGACTTTTACAAAGTATAAACCTACGTACAGCAATGTTTAAAGAGTACCTTAACTTCTTTATTACAAATTTAAACGATTATCGGATAAATACATTCCCGAGACAGATCAAATGCATAACTCATCCCTATTTTTCTCTATCGTAATATATTATACATATTATAAATATATATTATATAGTTACAAAGATGCACAATACTTGTAGGTGTTCATAGTACCGTTTAGTGTTGTATTATTTCGAGCATATCTCTAGTTATTAACTTTCACACGATTTTATTAATATTTATGTACAAAACAGAAGGAAAAGATTTGTATAACATTACACGTTTCTTTTTTTTTTTTAAGAGTACAGTGTAGCATATAACGATGTTATCGAATAAAAATTGTTTTGTTTACCTCGTCGTTGTTTTTTGTAAAGATTTTACTAGAAGCTATATAATTAATGTTACAATGAAATATATCTTACAAATACAGGTCTCGTTTGACTTCATCATTATACCTTACACACGTTGATCCAACGATCGGTATCGTAAGCAACGATAAGTAATTACCGACGAATTAATCTTAATTGCATTTATCGTGAATAATAGACTGCAGCTTTTATCCGTTTATGGCATTCGCAAGCTCGTTAAGAGAGTGGTCGAACGATATTTTCATATTTCGTATCGCGTAAAGATCCGCGGTCCAATTAAAACTTGGTCGAAGGAGTCCACGAATTAATTACAAGCTGCGGTTGATCTTTCTGAAGTTGTATTAAAGATTCATTTTTGTTTCGCGAGCAGTGGGGAAGCGGGACCGCTGCAGAGAGGAAATACCGAATGTAATTGTAAACGAGCTATCTCATGTACTCGACGCGCTGTCCTTTGAAGCTCTCCAGAAGATTGTACCGATCGATGGCGTTCACAATAGCGCTCGACAAATGAAGAAAATCGTCCTGAATCTCCCGTGATTGCAGCAGAGCTTCGATCGCAGGCAGTCTCGGTAGAAATAAAACGCTCATCATGAACAGAACCGCCATGGTAACGAAGGTGCTTATGGCGACGAAGAGAGGGCTCGACGTTAACAGCGATTGAGTGGACAATGGAGCCGGAGAACTATTAAATACAGCTGGAGGCTGCGAACAGATTCAAATATTTTCCTTTCCGCCGTTCCAGAATTCGCTGTCGCGCTGTATCTAAAATTGATCATTCGCGTGTCACACTTTTGTAACGCGTAACTGGCCGGTCAGCGTGAAAGCTGCTCCCTCGGTCGGAGGAACTTGTCGAGTTATCTTCGAAACTGGACGACACCGATAATTGCCACGGTAGACAACTTTTTTGGAAATTCGTTCAAATTGACGGATTATAATTTTTAAATATTCTCCAAATTTTACCGTCGAGAACAGTTACTTTTTCTTTTTCGTTTGAAACAGGAGCCGAGGAGCAGTCGTGTACTTACTATCGTTTTGTAGCCGTGGTCTTTCTTGAATTCGGACACGAAGCTCTTCAATGGGAAAAAATAATATTGGTAACCAGGAGATTTGACCGGAAACTCCACGGGAGTCTGCGGCACGTTAGGTAATTCTCCAGTGGAAAGCGCGTTGGTCAACGATTGCAAATTCATCGCCGATCCTCTTTCCAACGCATTTTTGTACATGGACGCCAGCTCGGCCCGCGTGAACCCCAGCAATTCCGGTTCTTGTACTTTGGTCATGGCGGAGCTATAGGGCTGCAAAGATATAGAAAAACTATACTCTTTCCGTTCGAACGTCTACCGGAAACGGAGCACCGCGTCGAGGCCGCCGATTATAATAAGAGCGGAAGCGAATTCCTTCTTAGATCATTGACAAATAAATTACGCGACCAATGGTCCTACCAGCGAGCAATGTGATCGAGTACGCAACGAATATTTAAAATATTTTTAGCAAAATTACGCGGAATACTAATCGCAAGTGCGGTAAATTCTCTTCAATTGACGCACAGTTTGTGAACAAAAATGGACAATTTGGGAAGAGGAGAGACACGATTATTCTCGAGTCTCGCGGTTAATTTTAGTAATTGCCGATCGATGAAAACGAGCTTCGTTTACGAGCCGAAGGAAAATTGGGGAGAATTTTAGCTCTCGCTTCGACGGTGTTCGACCGAGGCGCGAATACTCGAATCGTTTTTTCCTGTTTCAGGGAAGTGGAGCATCTTTAAGATAGAATAACGAGCAATTAAAAATGTTCGCTCACCTGATAACGACTGGGAAGACTTTCCGCGTCGTAACGAAGCGCGTCCGCCCTCTCGGCCAGCAGAACGTGATGGCTCTGGTTTTTATACTTGTGTCGCGGATGCATGTTGATCCTCTGGACTCGATGAGCCTGTTTCTCATCGGCGGCCAAATTGTTGTAGCCGTTGCCCGAGGCGAGCCGTTCGTAAACATTTACGGGGGGAGGAACGTTGAACTCTTGCAGCTGCATCATCGCCTTCTGCAGATACTCGCCGCTGGACTCGATTCCCTGCATTCTCGCGCGAACAAGTTTCAACATCACCAAAGCGAGACAAATCAGATTCATTCTCCTCGCGATATCCATCTTGGATCCATTAATATTGCCCGCGCATTTGCTATTTATGTCGAGCTCGCGAATTTCTAATTCCCGGAAGGTCTCGAGAACGCTGCAACGAGACCGCGCACCGCGTTCGAATCGCGAAATTAACCGCGCGTTTTTCGTCACGATCGAAGGTTTATTTTTACAACGAAAGTCCGGTAAAAGTTCCGGCGCGAAGCGTTCGCTCGTCCTCTTGGCAAAAAGTCGCGGAGTCACGTGTGCACGCGTGGAGCACTCGCGGCGAGCATATTCGCGTTTACACTAACGGGGATGAACTGCGAGAAGATCCTCGGTCGGTTTGTTCCCCACCAAGTCATCGAAGAATTCTCCGGCTCGTATGCGGAGGAGAACATCATCCACCGAGAGACTCGCCATATGTTCGCGCGAGGCGTCCGATCTTTTTTGCCTTCGGACGGCCGGCAATTTTCGCGCGATTCTCGTACCGAAATCGCGGAGGCTCGCCGAATCGATACGCAACTTCTCCGATATAAGAAACACCGTTGTTCGCTGCGAAGTGAAACGAGATTTCGCGACAGCAACGTCGCGATGCAACTGGACGCAAGAGCGAAAGAAAAAGAAATCGAACGAGAGCGTCGACGTTAAATGTACCGAAAATTTATAATGGAAAAACGCAGGAGCAGACGGGCTCCGGGGAACGACCGGCACCGTTATCAACCCGGAACTCGATTTTAATCGATGAAAAACGAGTCGACCGGGTTGACGGAGATCAAGGACAGCGACGAAGAATAATAATCGGACTTTGGTCCGGCAACAAAGTCTTCGTCGGAAAGAACGGACGCGTCGGAACAGACGCGGAATACGAAATAAGGAGCGAGCCGGCTTCTTAGCCCGGCTAAGATGTCCCCAAAGTATCGCGTACACGAAAACCTGATTATCCGGTGGCCGACGAACGTACGTACAGAGCGGAGGACGCGGTTTTGGGCACATCCGTTACGCGCTTGAATCGCGAATCGAGCGTTTCGCCGTCGTCCAACCCCGCAGGTGCAAGCTGATCCGTAACGGAATCGAACGGACCTCGAATTCTCCGTTAATTAACCTGCAGGAGCCGCCCGCGTTCGTCTATCCGAGCATCGGGGATCCCGCTACAGTAACGTCTTCCTAACCGACGCTCGGATTGTACGCGAAAATGGACAATTTGGGAAGAGCGGATACGATTGTTCGAGCGTTGCGGCTCGTTTTTATAGTTGTTGACAATTCGGAACTATAAAAACGAGCCGTAACAATCCGAGCGTCGATTAGAGAGACATTACCGTATTCCGCGAACGAACCGCGGGTTTTCTCAATTATCTTCGTCTCGCAGAAATCTCATAGAAACTGGACGGGCTAAAAATCGCTTCGATACTCTCGTCGGACACCTCGTCGAACCTGCTCCGTCCGTAGACGAACGGGTTTCTTTCCGTGTCGGTTGTATTCAAATTTTGTCTTTCTTTCAGCGATATTTTTGTGGTCGCCGAACGCATCCCGTACTCGACTGGCCGCGATCTTTCAATTTTCTGCAGCTCGACCCGTCGTTCCGCGACAACGTGGACTGGTGAAATCTGCGAAATCTCGGAAATTCGCGCTCTAGATGCAACGCGTGCGAAACATCCGAGGAGCCCGAGGAGCGTCGGTTGACAGCGTCTTTCTCCAGTCATCGAAATCACCAAAGCGCGTCTTCGCGGCGAACGATAAACGTCGCCGCGAGACAACGATGCTCCCGTTTCGCTGTGTTTGCGCTCTGTCAGCTTTTCCGGAATGTCGTTTCGCGATCTTCTCCCGTCGAGAATCGTCCCGTCTGCGAAACGAGTCGAAAAGTTTTGCTAAAAAGAAGCCTCTTTTGCTCCAAGTTCGAAGAAAATCGCGGAAATACGTACAAAGATACGATCGCGGGGCAGCCGTTGATTTCGTTTAATCGAAGCCTGCGCCAGAAACCTGGATCTCCGTTGTTCCGACAGGCGCCTCGGTTTCTTCGGTTCCGGTTGCCAGTCGTTAAAAGGAAACTTGCGCGACGAACGAGCCACGGCGCGTTGCATTCTCGCCGGGCTTCGGCGTTACCTGTAACTGTACTAAAAATGCGTTGCCCGGAGTAATTGGGGAATAGAAATTACGCGCTCCCCACCGGGGACGCTTGGATATTAAATGTACGGTATTCCCTTCGTTCTCGATTGCTCGATCCGTTCCGCGACCCGCGCGCGCTTCTCCCAATTATCCCGAGGGGGGAACGGGTGGAATCGTTTTGAGAAACAATTCGATGACAAAGTCGACACCGAATACGCGCCGACATCTCGTTCCGGCGATCGTCCTTCGTTCCCGGTCTACGGAAACGGAGAAAGTCGATATATCTTCGTCGATTCGTCGTTTTTTCGCTCGTTTACGCGTAACTATTTTAACTGTACAGAGAAGCACGAACGCGCGTCCGTTCGCGATTTCTTGTTACCGCGATGAAAAACGCGTGGCTGTCGTCGAAATCGAGTTACACCGTGAAACGTACGGCGGCGTCTTCGAACAAGATGTAACGCCCCGTCTATCGTCGCGTTTCCTATAATTATCGGAAATCTCGGTCTTTTGCTAGACGAGGGATACCGTAATTTTCTGCGATAAAGTCGTTCGAAAAGAAAAAGAAACAGAACGTTCGATACGAACCCACGGTTCTGCGACTCGCTCGGTGGTCCCGCGGTGGTGGAGAGCCGTTAGACGACAACCCACGATTTTCTTTAATTATACCCGTCCGTCCGTCATTGTCCCGCTATTATCATTCGGTCGGACGGCAGCAGACTACTTTGTTTCGTCGATGGTTCCGCGGACCTCCGCCCGAAACCGACGTCTTCGAGAGTCGGGCGGTTTCTTCCTCCGTCGAAGGGGTCCGCCGATCGTCATCCTCGTTACGGGGAACAATGCCGCTAATAATATCGTAATCGTCGGCGCACGGTTAACGGTACAGCGACCCGCGTGCACTCGAAAATTGATAGTTCCATCGTCGAACTGAAAATAATGTTCGCGCGTACCCGCCACTCGATCGGACGGTACTTCTCGAAATGCTCGTCATTACGCCGACTGCCAACAAATCGACTCTATCATTCGTAGCTGCGATCGGTTCCGAGCGGTACACGGTTCTCCCTAATTTTCCTGAGATTGTATACGAAAATGGAGAATTTCGGAGAAGGTGGTACGATTATTCGAGCGCCGCGAGGCTCGGTTTTCGTAATCGTCGACAATCGGCGATTATAGAAATGAGCCGCGAGGCTTCGACGATCGTTTCTCCTCTTCCCCAAATTGTCCGTTTCGGTTTACAAGCTGCAGGAAAATTAGGGAGAATTTATTATACCTCGATGCTTATACGGCGCGATGCGCGATCAATTGAATTTTGAACGGAAATCTCATCGTCGCGATTGCATCCGAAATCGAACCAATTTATCGAAGATGAAACGATTTACTCCGATATTCGGTCTCTTCGGCCGAGCAGTCGGCACCTTGGAATTCCAGGTTTCGCACCTCGTTGAAACGTGACGTTATGCGTCGGGATCGTCGGACTTTTCGACCTCCGCAACGAGCGAGACGGAGAAAAAGAGAGGATAAAGAGGAGAAGCAGAGATCTCGATGGAATCGCGGGCGCGGAAAATTGATTAAAACATTAAGAAAATGGCGGGGAGGACTGGCACGTTAGATCGGCGTACCGTAAGCCGGGATCGAAAGGCGGAGAGACGTGGAGGAACTGGAAAACTGAAATCGCGTGTATGGCTCATTATTGTGTCGTGTATTTCCTTTCACATCGAGTGCACCGTTACCGATATCGCTTTACAATTCTTCATCGTCCTCTCTCTCTCTCTCTCTCGCTCTTCATTCATTTCGTTTCGCTCTTTTTTTCCACCGTTTTCGAATTTCATACAAAAAGGATGATTCGATGATCGACGCCGCTACATCATTCCCTGTGACGTTCGTCAATCGCGACACCACGCGCCGTGCTTTGTGATCGACGAACGACAACATTTTGTTCTTTTTTTTATCCGTTACACGTACATTTCATAGATACAATATATATATATAATATATATATATAATATATTTTCTTTATCTTTTTAGCGTCTTAATCCTTCTCATCGAAGATGAGTAGTATCATACAAAATCTAAGGCTACACGTAATTTTAACCTTAATTCCTCCGTTTAAATATTCGAACGAAATCCAACGAAAATTCACGGCAATGGACTGCGGACGTTCGCGTGTTCGCGAAGTATGCGAAAATCGACGGTCGGAGAACGAATCGTCCAATCTTTATATTTCACGGTTTCGCGGTCTCGTAGAGCTCAGCACGGATTATCGTCTCCAGATTATCAGGAAAGACGGGACTATCCTCGTAGAATCTATCGGAATACAAATTTACCTAAACGCGCGAGAGTACGGTGCTGTTTTTCTTTAATACTTTCCTTCGAGACCGAGAACGCGAATTCGCGTCTCCCTTCGACGCGATGCATTTTCTTCGAAAAAGTGTGTAAAACGTGGCCTCGTTATTTCGTTTTCCAACGATGCTATTCTCAACAATTTTAGCGCGTCAATTTTAGCTCGGTCTTTTTCCACGCGAACAGTCGCGCGCATCAAAGAGAAGCCGATCGTTTTTTCGCGGTGTTTTTTTTTCTCTACGGTGACTCGAACGCGACGGAACGCACGCGATTTTCCGCAGTCCGACGAGGGGATACGCGGCGACGTTTTCAAATTCGCGTCGATCCTTGGCAGTATCACGCGGGTACGGTTCCTAATTTACAAAAATCGCGAGACGACGAATCGTGTTTCACGGTGACGGCGGTGGTAGGCCCTAATTTATCTTCGTCTTCTCTCTCTCTCTCTCTCTCTCTATGTTCTCGTTCCCCTTTTTTTCTTGGTTTTCTTCCTGTTTTCCTCGAAAGGTACAAAAAACGTGGAGATACGTCGTTCCGGTCGAGACGGAACGAGGATCGCCGCCAAATCGATTTGAACTTGGTCGCGTGTCGCTGATTCTTCCGCTTCCGGTCGCTCGGCACCGTTCGACCTCGAGGCTCCAAGTGCGAAACCATTGGATCACGGTTCACCTAATCGCCGTTCCGCTGTGCGAACGCGATCCCTGCCCTCCGAGATTTATGGATATCGCGGAGAATTCCGTACCGGAAAAGTTGCCCAGGATATTTTCATTGCCGGACGCTCGGTTTTCAACGTGTTTCGATCCTTTTTCGGATTTTCCACCTTACGGAAATCCTGATAATTTGTTTCGAGACGACCGTAGAATTCATCGAGAAATTCTCTATTATCTTGTCTTCGATTTTCGCAGGATATATCGCGATTCGAAACGGCAATTTCCAAGGGACTTCCGAGACAGAGACGCCGCGAGATTCGTCCCCGATTTACGCGCGGTCGACGGTATCGTAGCCTGGAGATTCCGGCGATCTTCTATTGAAATTTTTGGTGAAAAAATAGGCCGAAATGCGTTTTTTCCATCCGACGAGAATCGGCACGAGCGGGAGATTCGAGACGCGGCCGGAAGCGGAGGACTGTGCACCGAAAAAGTCGATGGTTCAACGAACGCGGTAACCGTCTTCGATGGAGGAGAAATTTAGTCGTCGCGGAGGGCTACAACTAAACAACAAAGCATCGATGCACCTCGATGGCTCGTCAAAAACGTAACATTCGCCTGGCACGCTATTTCGCGTCAACAAATTGTACAGGGTGAACGACTCGATCACCTCGGATATCTCGCTTGCCCTTGACAGAACAGGTTGTCGCATAATTATGTCAACGTCCAAAAAATGACGATTCCTGAGGTGATTTCGAGTAACTTTTTCCTTGGCGAAAATACAATCCGCGGATTCGTTTACGAGTTATCAACGAAAAACAGTGGCCAATGAGAAGCGAGCTCGGCTGACGGGAGGCGGGTCGAGCCGACGAGCCGTCGAATCCCGGTTCCGCCTAGCTCCGGTCAAGCTCGCCTCTCATTGGACAGCGTTTTTCATCGATAACTCGTAAACGAAGCCGCGGATTGCATTTTCGCCGAGGAAAAAGTTACTTCGAACGACCTCAGGAATCGCCGCTTTCCAGGCGTTAACGCAATGACGGAACACCCTGCAGAGAGAAAATCTCGGGGGAGAACATTGTGTGGTAGACCGTTCCAACGACCTTCTGGGATCTCCGGAAATATGTCTTGCTCGCTGTAACATGTATCGTCGACGCTGTTGACTATCGTCGATAACGAGCGAGACGTTGAAGTTCGCTTTGCGCGCGTCGTGATTCAGCCTGTGCAATCATCGCTCGGTCATCGTCAAACGAAGATCAAACACGCCGCGATCTAAATTACGGTATAACAACGCCTATACAGAGATATCTAATCGTAAGCTATGTAAATTAGTTTATTGCTACGCCTACGGGATAAGCAGTCTCGTTCGTAAAAACCGATAAATGCGAGAAGACCTTCGGTCGTAGAAAATCATGTTTCAACGAACAGAATGTACACAGAACGTTCCATTTTCCATTCTACGCTTTTCTCGACCGAACTATACCGGAAACGTTACTGGAAACGATTGAGAAAGTATTAGGGTCGAGTAGTAAACGATTACCATCTTGGCGAACAAAGCGTAACGACGCGTTTTTCATCGTCCTAACGATTCGTCGTAATCGAGCTACCCGATCAGTGGCAATAGAATCGCTGAGAATCGCGAGGAAAATGTATAATCGATATCGAAGATATACAGGTGTATCGTTTGTTTCGTCGATAAATAAAATTAGGATCGTTCGACGACTCGACGGTAACGATCAAATATTGTGCGATACGCGAAAACGAAGCGATCCGTGTACAAGGTGTCTCGGAGGAAACGTGATTCGCCTCTTTCTTTCTGATCGTATCGTTGAAGAACGCTAATTAATAACAACTGCTTCGGCAACATTTTCTGCAAGGATTGTTCGCAAAACGCGCAGCTACATTCGCCTAACACCCGCGAGAGAGTATCCTGATATAAAAGGTCCTTAAAAATCGAAGTATATCGAATCGTATCAAATTGGTAAACGGTTCCCGAGAGATCTCGTAAATTCGAACGAAAAGTTACGCGTTACAAAAGTACAAGATCGATCGTATAGAAAACCGGCGACCATCGATCGCCGGTTGTACAAAAATTAATGCGATCCTTCACACTTTGAACGCGTCAGTCGCATAGAATATCACAGGAACGTTAGCAAGTGCCACTGGTTTTCTATACGCAAAGTGTCCCGATCGAATCGTCGCTTTACAACACGGTGTTTCGTCGCTTTGATATTGTCATCGGATAGTTTTCTGTAGGCGGCTATCGATTTGTTTCATCTCGTGCGGCCAAAATACTGGTGATAACGGCGAACGGGGGACACCCTGTATATTAGAAAGAGAACGTATCTGTGCTCGTGTACGTGTTTCGAGTCTCGCGTGCCGGGTCAGAGAAGCGAATTTGTTTGTTGTTCGATGTACGAAAACTCCAAAGAAATTAATAACTATTTTGTCGCGAGAGGTCTTTCAAGTTGGTGCAACAATTTTGAGAAAATAGAGAGCGATACTTTGAGTATTTTGCTAGAACAAAGCGAGAGAATGTTTTTTAGAATCGATATTCTGTGACTCGACACGACAAGCGAACACAGAATAATTGAAAAAGAACGATTCAATTCTTTCGTTTGAACTGTAAACGCGAGTAACAGTACGATCGGCGGTCGTTTTTAATGAGACAACGCAGTGCAGACCAGAAAAAGTACAATATCTCTGGGACTTCGCAATAAAGAGCTGTTCGAAATATCGATTTATAAAATTGTACCTAGCGTATGTCTAGTCGCGGGGACAATGAAAAATGTGTTTATATCAAAATTGTTCGAAGTTTTCGTGAAACGACAAACAGATGCATCGCATCGTCTCCGCAACGGAACGGCGTGCCACGTTGTCGTCTTCCCGAACAAGTGTCTACGAATCGAAAAGTACAAACAGCGATTAAAGAACTATGAAAAATGATATCCAAGCATATCGAATGCCCTTGACGATAATATCTTATCTCCGATGCCGTTTCAAAATTCGTTTCGTGTATCAAAAATCGTAAAAACTGCTTTGTCACAAGTATTTTGACATCCGACCGGAATAGAACACATTACCGTGCAATTAATCGGCTATCAGCTTCCGACAGCTTTCTATTATGCTTTGCGAAACACCTTTACGAGAGCGCGGTGAATCGATGAGACGTGTCGGCAGATGTTTCCTTGAAAATAACGATTCCCATCCGTTAACAAATTCATTTTCGTTCGTTGGAATCGTTTTTCGGTCGCGCCGCAATCTCGTATTCGCAGTATCGTAATTCATCGAGTAGCCACAATTTACAAACATCGTACACACGTTCTCACAGGACATGCTCCATTATAATCAGACTGCAGGCGTTTATGCACTTATGGCATGACCGAGTACAGAGAACGTCGGATAAAAGTTCTAATAAAATTCCTATCCTCGGTCGAATCGAAATGAAACTTCTTTTCAACTTTTGCTCAAATTTGTAAATCAATTTGCAAAGATAATAGTTCCGCGTAAACAGCCGCAATTTAATTATAATCTCGCAGTATATTTGTGTTCCTGGTTATCGTATTCCTGCCATTTACCTCGAAATGACACCTGAACGCTGTCGCTAGCTTCAACTTATGCAAGATGGTACGTTCGCAATAGCATGCTTACATTGTTCAATGTACATGTTGCCTTAGAAAATAACAAAGTCTCTGCTCTAATCGTCGACGCGACTGGAAATCATAGAAAAACGCGTACCGATCCTGATCGACTTAAAAAAGACAATGATAAAATGAAGATCGTATGCGTCAATTTACAACAATGCTTTTTAATCCTTTTAATTCGTACACTGGCTGTAAAAATGTCGATGCTTTTCTTTATACACATACTATTATAAAATCAGCATGCATAACAAGAACAATACATGTAACTTAATTTACGAGGCTACGAATCTCTTAATTCTACCTAAAGAACAGTTCTTCTTTTCTTTTTTTTTTCGGTCACAATTATCGTTCTGTGTTATGCATTTCTCGCCGTGTATGCACGTAAAAGTACGTTCCACCATCGAGCGTGTAGTCCTTATTAAATAATAAAATCGCAGACTCCATAAATAACACAGTTATTGTTCTGTACTTAAACATCGCTTGTTTTCTCACTGATAGTGTAACGTAACAATGCAGAAAATAAAAGGTGTAGAGACGGTTTCGATTTTGCGAGCGAACGCAATTTCGGCTACAGAAGAAGAAAAAAGAAATCCAGAGAATCTTGGATTAGTTGTACAATGAAAAAAAAAACATCTCGGCTTCTCTGCGTTCAACGATATGTCTACGTCCTATGCAATATCGAATTATTCGCTAGACCTTTGTATCCGTTTGTTGTGCGTATTGTTTTAGCTCTCTCTCTCTCTTAAAAAACCTCTCTGTCGAGTCGTACAAAATCTTTCAAAATTACTTGTCGCAATTGTGGAACAGATAATTCCCGCACAACACGGTCGAAAAAATCTGCATAAGAGTATCTGTACATTCGTAAAAAAGTTTATCATAATTATAAACGATAATAAAAATCGTAGTAAAATTCAAAATAACAGCGTCGTATTTTTACTCCAATATTATATCGATAAAAAGAAGCTAAAATTGTAAATTGGTACAAACGCGCCAGATTTGACAATTTCTGGAGCAACTTCCAGCGTATTGCGTAATACGGTAATTGTGTTGGAAGATGATGAACATGTTATGCGAGGATTGGCTGTGTCCGACATAAAAATGTACCGTAAACAAAATAATGACGTGATATTAGAAAGCATTGTATTATCACAAAATTCTAGTGAAATATACACATATAAATATCTATGTACAAATATAAAAATCTAAACAGAAGTATGTAGCATGGAATCGATTTGAGTATGAAAATTTCTGCGTAGAGTGACTTCTTGACCGTTTCGCGTATTCGTAACCGATTCAAATCATTTCTGAACTCTTTTATCTGCGACGATGCTCGCATCAGAATGAACAGAAATTGGCTTGCCTCGGGATAGCCCCATAAATAAAGCAGACTTCCTTTCTTATTTTTTTGGATATAAAATACGAAAACATAATCGATATTGTTAGTCTCCGATCTGTAAGTTATGGAAAACGAGGATAAATATTTCCTTGCAATTTATTGGGAAAGAATTTCATAGATAATTTTAATCGTCTCCAAAAACATAAAAGGAAATTCACACCACTTATGGGTGGTCCAACACCTTGTACATTTGTACGTCTGACAAGCGTGTCATGGGTATAAACACGAAAATATTGTCATGATTATGTCGTTAATACGTAAGCAACAGGCGACAGGCGAGTAGTAACGGTATAATTACAGGCGAATAATAAACGCGATCTTCTTATTAGATTTATCTATCGATTACAACGTAATCGAAGCGCGAACTAGCAAACTTAATTAATTCTCGAGTAATGGGCCCTGTTATACACACATGTACATCGAGCGGGGAACGTGTGTTAATAATTAGCACGGAATGGAATGGAGATTGATTTATCGGAAGAAAGATGAGAGAAAAGGAACAATACACGGAAAAGAAAAGTAACACATTTGACGACCGACGTGGTTCACGAAACCAAAAAAAGAACATCAATGTGATTGTCCCCTGCCATAAGTGAATAGCTCAGCAGCGCGCGTGCCGGAGTTAACATCGCTTGACTAGAAATGAACGAGGGTGCGAACCGAATGCAATCTATGCTGGGTTTACGAAATTTCCAATTTTTGTGTCTTTCCTTATTCACATTAATCTCATAGTTTCATTTCTTTTTCCGTTTCAACGTCGTCGACTGCCAAACGGAACACTGGCACAGACGGACAGCTCTCCAGTTTCAAATAATACAAATTCATCGGGCAATTGACGAGCTATTAATTTACTAGGAATCTATGTTACCTATAACTTATACAAATGATTAAGAGGAGTAATACATTTGCGGACAATTGTTCTTTTTCGTCCTCGTGAAACGTGAAAATCAACGGTTAAACGGTACTACTATACATTAGTTTTCTGGTTGCTATTAACAAGAACCAAGAACTGCCAGTGTCTACCAATGCCTAACCGAGAGCCTATCTCCTAATCCTGCTGTACATCCACACACACAGAGTACAGACATATCTTTTCAAATTCTCTTGCGTTCTGTAAAAGTAAAAAAATGATTCTCCGTGCATTACGATTCACAGCAGTCCGGACACCGTTTTCCAGGCCTTCGTTAACACTTTTTTCGTGCTTGTCGAAACTGAATACGATTACATCAGTCTTCTCTTTTAGACAAGAAAGGTTAGCGCCGCCGCTAAACGCGTGTGCACACGCTTCCTATGTATATGACACTGTATCTTACAGACAAAACTAACACACATTGGGTGCGTGATATTGTTAGTGTAATATCGTAATATAAGATAGATCGTAGTAGCGTCTGATCTCTCCTTGTTGTCGAGCTTGGAAGAATACAAGGGGAGCTCAAGTTCAGCCTTAAACCCACATCGAGCTTCGCCGTTCCGTGTTTGATCGCGTTCACAGATCGCGCGCGCGCGCGCGCGCGCGCGTTTCAATATTACAATTCATAAAAGTTTCTCGACTTTTATGGATTACAGCCTCAATGGACTTTTCATTTAATTGGTATAAGTCTCGGTATTGTACACGCGATACGAGGACACTACCGGACATTGAACCGGCGAAGCTGTATGGTCCACACGTCGGATTATTCGTACGTCATACAAATATGTTCGATTTGTTTCACTAGTGCACCGAATATTCATACTCGTTAATTTAAAACGGAGAAGCACTTTTTCTACTTGCGCCAGTGCTGTCTCCAACGTTCCATCCCGGTCACAAAAATCCTAACACACTCTCTCCGTCAGCATAATAAAAACAAGTTATTCGAACAGCTTTACAACAGCTGTCCCGACCGTGGTATCACGAGAGTCATCACTGCGCCGCACTATAGGAGCAACCAATTAAAATCTTGGTTAATCCATAGACCATCGTCGACCCATGTTGCGCGGTCAGCTTTGATCGTACGAGCTTGATAATGTGCGGTCTCTTTACGGCTTATTCCGTATCGTACGCAAAGTGTCTCTTCCGGTACACATACCTAAATCGAAGGTTTTGCAGTCTCTTGCGTGAATGTGTACAAGGTCAGTCTAGCTCGGTGGAGGTTCTATAATCATAGTCACCAATACATTAGCGATTTCTTTGGTTGGCCCAATATACGTTTCCTTGAGCATTCTTATACGTTCCCAAAACACTTATTGTACGCGAAATGTTTCTCTGCACACACGTTCACCGATCATGATTCAGGTCTTCCGGCCTCTCACGTTGACTTGCGGTATTAAGACGCTGGCTCGTCGTCAGCCAGATTGTGCAGATCCGAGTAGTTCACTATAGCACGATGGAGAAACTCGTATTGTGCCTGAAACAATAAATTCATTCGTCGAACCGTATTTGTTTCTTTGTTGGTTGCGTTGTTGTTACAACGACCAAATCACTTACGAAAGTGCTGATCATGCCGTGTCTCTGCGAGCGCAGCTTCTTCGTCGTCGTGAAGATGTCCACGCGTTTCTCGGTCCGCAGCTGCTGCACCAATATGCTAAGAGCGACGAACATGGAACTCCTGTCGGATCCGAAGCTACAATGAACGACCAACGATCCGCTCGACTCTGTGTCGCTCGTCAGAGTCTGGTTCACCAATTCTATGAGACCGCGGGTGACTTCAGGTACTTCTCCCTCGACTGTCGGCCATCCATGGTACTGGTACTGTGTCACGACCACGTTCTCGTCGGTCTTGGTGTTAGAAACGCAGAACTCGCGACGAGTGTAATAGGGACAGCTCTCGCTCTGGATGTATCTGACTCTTATGTGGTCGTAGACTGCGTCGTCGTCTGGCCAGTATCGTGGACACTTTCGAGGACCCTCGTTCAACTGCAAAACACGTTCGATCTGTTAGAATTCCATCGGAAGAACGAACAACAAATTTAACCTCGAACGCGAGCCTTGCGTACGCGGTCTTCGTGAGTTTACTTACTGTTGCCTATAGTCGGAGGCACAAAGATATTTATCACCCAACTATTATACGTATTAGACTTCCTATAAAATTCTGCTAATATTAAAATCATGCAATTTTAGCTTGTGAAAGCAATAATTTCGAATACTAATGAGTTGCGTGCCATATATGCGTTACTACGCAACACTTAAACGGAAGCAACTAATAAGTTCGATTAAATTAATAGTTTAGCTATCGGAACACTCACATCGGACAGCATAACTATCGTGGAAATGCACTGTTCAGAAATCATACGCCAGAAGTCTGCTATGGTGGTCTCCAGTGGGTCCTGAGTGATGACAAACGACTCTGAATTGTCATAGCCTTCGATGAACGAGGCGTTTATGTACGTTGAGTGCTCTCTACCAGGAACAGGCGTCAGAATCACTCTGTTTCTATCGTATGGTATTATCAGCTCGCTCCTGTTCTTGCTCTTGTTCTCTTCTCCGCCACCCACAGAAAAGGATTTTCTGTCCTCCAACATGGAATTGATTTTCTGCAAATAATAATATAATATTCGCAATCTATTGGAAGAAATATCCTGAAAGAATCGATACGCGAACGGAAACAGTTTACTTACATCGTACTCCTCCTCCATTCTACATTTCTCTTTGCCATTGTCCCTCTGTCGTAGTTTAGCGATGGTAGCCTTCAGCTGCGAAGTCGGAATCTCGGTGTCCCCATATTGAGCCATCTCCATTAATGCACGGTAAATGAAAATATACTGTTTCAGCGATTGCACTAAGAAATTCCTCTGATGTCTCAGGTCGCACACTGTGTTGAATATCGACACTTGACCCTCCTCAGCCAGCTGTTGTAATAGAGAATCCAGCGCTACTAGTGTCCCAGTTCGTCCTACACCAGCACTGCAGTGCACCAAAATCGGTCCCTTTTCCAGAGAGTAGGCCTCGTTCACTCTTTTTATGAACCTCAACACCGCATGCGGGTGTTCCGGAGCCGTGAAATCCTTCCAGACCAAGAAATGATACTGAACGATAGTGCGAGCATCCCGTTCACCCAGTCGCGTCATCTTTAACTCTCTAACAACGTAATCGGAGTAAGCCCTTTCTCTAATGTGTTCGACCGTGATATCTCCAAAGTTCTTGGTCTCGCCTTTGTCCGGCCAGTATTTGGCGCATTTCGTTTTCGAATATTCTTCCAAGTTCGTTAACATGAGTATTAGCTCCAAATGCTGCTCCCAGATCATTCTCCAGTAATCGCAGACAGTGTTCTCCATCGGACCCTGAGCACAGATGAATTTCTTGCGCTCTTTGTAGCCGAGTACGAAGTTGGCATTAATGTAGTCGGACCCAGCGATGCCGTCCACTTGCGCCAGACGCACCCTGGTCTGATCGTAACATTTAATGTCCGGATAACGATTCTTGTACAGATTCTCGCGAGCCTCGGAAGCCCTGGTGGTACGGTCGGTGAACTCGTCCGGTAGTAATTGGAATTCTTCGAGAAAATCATAGTCGGAATCACGGTGTCGCTCGAGGTAAGCCTGGAGAAGCTCGCTTTTGGGAATCGGTGGCATATCTGGTGGACTTGCAGCGACGAGTTGATGCCTTCCCCTAAGACTCCTGCACAGATGCCTGCCAAAGATGGCACTTATTACGTACAGGATCTTGTATGTACATCAATTGTGTGTATGTGTGTGTGTGTGTGTGTGTGTGTGCGCGTGCGTGCGTGTGTGTGAATGAAGACGTTTAATCGTTTTCTTTTTAATTTACTAAAATTCAACGTTCTCGCTCCGAGGTTTAACGCTTGTTTACCTGAAACTATTTCTCAGCGTGATTATCTCTTCGCCTCTCTGTTGCGCCCGCTTCGTATACCTATGTAATATACAAAGCGCGATGAGAAGGATGATGATGATTAGCATGAGCGCGACAGAGATTTGTAGAATCACGCTGAGAGTGTTCACTTCCGATGAATCCGCGGCTCTGGGATCCAGCCCTCCGTAAAGAAGAGTGAAGTAGTTGCTGTAGGCTGGCAGAAATTGATTCTCCTTATTCCCAAACACTATAACAAAAATATTTATCAGGTCATACCGGAGATCGAGCATTTATAGATACACTGTCAAATAAAATTGTTGCAGATCTCAGTGACGTAGTAGCCATACCGATGACTTCAACGAATCCGGTGTAATTAGCCTCCTCGTCCAGAAAGCCATCCTGTGGAGTAAGAAATTGTACTTCAGTTGCTCCATCGACAGTCTTTGTTCTTTGAGTGACCACATTGTCTCTTTTCCTCCTTGCTATATTTTCTGTTCGGTTCTTGTTCTCTATAGTTGGCGTAGTTGTCTCTATTTTTGTAGGTACAATAGTTGTAGTCGGAGCAGCGGTTGTAGTTGTGGTGGAGGTGGTCGTGGTGGTGGTGGTAGTAGTCGTAGGAGCAGTGGTAGTAGTTGTGGTTGTGGTAGAAGTTGTGGTGGTAGTGGTTGACGCTGTCGTAGTCGTTGTCACCGGTGTTGTGGTTGCCACTGGGGTTGTGTTAACCGACGCTATAGTTGTCTGATCTTCAGGGACAAACTGCAATACCGGTGGAGCAGCTTTTGGCCGCAGTCCAATGCACTTGTCGCACATAGAGCTACGATTGTACGATTCGCCATCACCAAGGAAGATCTCGGATACCAATCGATCGCTGTCAAACGTTTCGGCAATGTAAGCGCCACCGGAAGGCGAGCTGTGGGCATACTGGTACGAATACACGCCGATTTCCTCGGGGGGCGGTAAGTCTGACACACTTTTCTGCGGCGCCAATTTAACTAGATAGACTCGATAGCAACATATGGGACCGTTTCTCTCGCTAATGCGCGGGAGGTGCAGCTTGAACAGCTGCTTACCCTCATTCTCGATCTTTCGCCAAGATCGCATGTTCAGGCTATCTTTGTCCGGAATGGTAACCGGTGTCGTGCAATTACCCACAGCGTCCTTTCCCGGCGTACGAGACCTTGTCACACCATGCACGTAAACCTACAAATATTTATTCTTTATAGTACTGTACAACATTTTCACCCATCTCAAAGGCTCTCCTCTTAATTTTACAATTCAACCACGCAACAAAATTTCGAAATTTTTTTAATGAAAGCGGTTTTTGAGCGGTAATAATAATAGCTTTTATGGTTTCAGCCAAGAATTAAAGGCTAAAGATCTCGAAATCATCTCGGTTCACTCGGTCTATATCCATTAGGGAGGTTGAAAAAAAAATGTCTGTATACCGTGTAATTCGTGTTGGCTGGAATNGGCACTTATTACGTACAGGATCTTGTATGTACATCAATTGTGTGTATGTGTGTGTGTGTGTGTGTGTGTGTGCGCGTGCGTGCGTGTGTGTGAATGAAGACGTTTAATCGTTTTCTTTTTAATTTACTAAAATTCAACGTTCTCGCTCCGAGGTTTAACGCTTGTTTACCTGAAACTATTTCTCAGCGTGATTATCTCTTCGCCTCTCTGTTGCGCCCGCTTCGTATACCTATGTAATATACAAAGCGCGATGAGAAGGATGATGATGATTAGCATGAGCGCGACAGAGATTTGTAGAATCACGCTGAGAGTGTTCACTTCCGATGAATCCGCGGCTCTGGGATCCAGCCCTCCGTAAAGAAGAGTGAAGTAGTTGCTGTAGGCTGGCAGAAATTGATTCTCCTTATTCCCAAACACTATAACAAAAATATTTATCAGGTCATACCGGAGATCGAGCATTTATAGATACACTGTCAAATAAAATTGTTGCAGATCTCAGTGACGTAGTAGCCATACCGATGACTTCAACGAATCCGGTGTAATTAGCCTCCTCGTCCAGAAAGCCATCCTGTGGAGTAAGAAATTGTACTTCAGTTGCTCCATCGACAGTCTTTGTTCTTTGAGTGACCACATTGTCTCTTTTCCTCCTTGCTATATTTTCTGTTCGGTTCTTGTTCTCTATAGTTGGCGTAGTTGTCTCTATTTTTGTAGGTACAATAGTTGTAGTCGGAGCAGCGGTTGTAGTTGTGGTGGAGGTGGTCGTGGTGGTGGTGGTAGTAGTCGTAGGAGCAGTGGTAGTAGTTGTGGTTGTGGTAGAAGTTGTGGTGGTAGTGGTTGACGCTGTCGTAGTCGTTGTCACCGGTGTTGTGGTTGCCACTGGGGTTGTGTTAACCGACGCTATAGTTGTCTGATCTTCAGGGACAAACTGCAATACCGGTGGAGCAGCTTTTGGCCGCAGTCCAATGCACTTGTCGCACATAGAGCTACGATTGTACGATTCGCCATCACCAAGGAAGATCTCGGATACCAATCGATCGCTGTCAAACGTTTCGGCAATGTAAGCGCCACCGGAAGGCGAGCTGTGGGCATACTGGTACGAATACACGCCGATTTCCTCGGGGGGCGGTAAGTCTGACACACTTTTCTGCGGCGCCAATTTAACTAGATAGACTCGATAGCAACATATGGGACCGTTTCTCTCGCTAATGCGCGGGAGGTGCAGCTTGAACAGCTGCTTACCCTCATTCTCGATCTTTCGCCAAGATCGCATGTTCAGGCTATCTTTGTCCGGAATGGTAACCGGTGTCGTGCAATTACCCACAGCGTCCTTTCCCGGCGTACGAGACCTTGTCACACCATGCACGTAAACCTACAAATATTTATTCTTTATAGTACTGTACAACATTTTCACCCATCTCAAAGGCTCTCCTCTTAATTTTACAATTCAACCACGCAACAAAATTTCGAAATTTTTTTAATGAAAGCGGTTTTTGAGCGGTAATAATAATAGCTTTTATGGTTTCAGCCAAGAATTAAAGGCTAAAGATCTCGAAATCATCTCGGTTCACTCGGTCTATATCCATTAGGGAGGTTGAAAAAAAAATGTCTGTATACCGTGTAATTCGTGTTGGCTGGAATCTGATTGTAATCTGTACTGTTCCGCATATAAACGCTCCAAGTCTGCGGGCCCCAATTATGGATATCCGATCGACCCATTTCATTTTTAAACCTGGCAGTACCCTCCAATTTGATGTTGTAACGAGTGATCTCTCCGTTTGGTTTCTGCGGATGAAACCATGTGATGGAGATGAAACTAGAGCTACTTATGTTATTGAACTTGCAGTTGACAGTTAGATTCTGAGGCGGGCTAGCCACTGAAATTCAGATTAATCGTTTTAAAATTGTTTGTCACGGTTAGCGATCGTGCTACCAAACTTGCTGTTTATTTTACCTCCGTCTAGAGTAGTGCCGTTTACTTCGACACTCCAGTTCCCGCACTCTTTCGTGTACTCGCTGCATGCAGCAATTTTGAATTTATACGTGGTGGCAGGATTAAGATCTACGAACGCGTACACGGCGAACGATTCTGCTGGGTACACTGCTTCTTTCTTTTGCTCTTCGTGTGTTACCATTAAATTATAATAATGCACGTGCTCTCTTAAATCTGGCGGCGGTACGGTCCAACGTAACGTAATCGAATTCTCCGTGACACCGTTCACAGAGACTTTTGGCACGAATATAGGATCTGTAACGAATTTTGATAATTAATTATTTAAAGGACTGGCAAGGGACATCCTGTAATTCGAGTTGCTATTCGTCGCATTACCTTTCTTAAGAGTAGTGATCCATCGTGGATCGAGACCACTCTGTGATTGACCAACAGCGTTTGCCGCTTCAATTCCAAATTGATACGCCGTCCCGCTTTGGAATCCTTTTAAAACGTAACTAGAGATGTCACCCCCGATTTGTTCAAGGTAATATTGAGCCTGATCGGTTCCATTTTTCATGTGTTTGATGAAATACGCTCTAATCGGCTCGTTTCCGTCGTTCACGGTCCAATTAAGAAATACACTTCCAGCACCAACGGCTTTCATAAAATCAATGCTGACTTGCGGCACATCGATCACAAAAAGGTGTCTTTGCGCGCTGATCTCGCTATTGTAATCGCGTGCTTTGCAAATATAGGTCCCGTTATCTTTGTGATCCAGGTTTGTGAACTCTAAAGTCAATATGATGTAGGTTTCGTTTATCTGAGTTACAGTCATGTAGTCTTTTAAGTATTCTGTGCTTTCTGAATCGTTTTTCTTTGTCCAAGAGAACTGGGATAACGGATAACCGTGCATGTGGCAAGTCAGGTTGGTAGATTCTGATACTTTTGCCCTGATATCGTCTTCTGGCGTTATTCTACCTGGCTCTGAAATAGAAATATTTATTTGTTAAATGATGTAATGGTACAAACATTTGTATTCGCTTGTAATTACTAGGATGACTCTATTGATTTACCAATGATTCTGATATGAATGCCCTTCTCCAATAGTTTTCCATCCATTGTTTGTGCCATGCATTTGTAATCTCCTGTGTCATTTCTGTTAGCTTGTTTAATATCCAAACGTCCTCCAGCATCATAGTCCTTAATAGTTGTAAGATTCTTTCCATTGCTGGTCCACCATATTTGACCCGGTACATTGAGTTTACATATTAAGGAAGGTGTGCTACCAGCCTCTATACCTTCTAAATCTTGAGATGCTGTGATTTCTAGGGCTGAGGGATTTTCATTTGTACGTTCGGTAGCTTCTATTTTCTCTAGACCTATATAAAAAGTACATAAAACAAAGACAATGTATTATACTACTACTATTATTGCTACTACTGGTATATTAGAGATATAATAGAGGTTCACAGAAGAAAGTTGATAGAAGTTTCCTCTACTAGTTGATCTTGCAAGATGTCAAATACAAGCAGAACTTTTTGTCGAGCAGTGTGTAAATGAACCAAGTAGTTGGCTCGTTAATTCATTATGATGGTGGCAGTGAAGCCACATAAATTGGCCAAGTTTTGTCTTCCCAGTTCAAACAAGTAGGGAAGTTCTGTATGTTTTAATAAATTCATTCCGCAAAGAAAAAAAACCATTTTTTTCCTACGTTTTAAATCGTTATCTAATGAAATACGACAATTACAGTGTTAATCGATCGTTGTATAAAAACTTGCAATGCTTGTGTATTATACATATATTAATTATTCATCTATTTTTTAAAAGCTTGGTCGATTGAGAAAAATGGAAAATAATTTAAAATTAATACGCTTAATAATTGGATTATAAAAATTTTGTCGTAAGATAATTTAGAAAAAATACGTTTGAAATCATCGTCATTGTGAACAATTCACTAACATACCTATATTTCATTTTATCATTATGATACGTGGCATGTGAACGATGCATGTGTATCATAAATTCTTTATTTAATAAGCATAACGCTTATTATAGCGATAGCATCGGTGACTCAATGGGCAGTGACACTTTCTCGTATTAAGTGTCCCTACATTATGTCCAGAGTTATGTGATCTGATTATATTTACTCGGAAACGCGAAATATCTTGTAATCTTCGTTCAAATAACAATCGTTACTATTTCCCGCGAGTTTCGCGTGTCAGCATTTTGTACGGTCTCTCGATCGATTGTTTTTTTTTTCATTTTAATTACATATAGTAGACTTGTTCGTTACACCCTACAATGTTAATCTAAACACTCGATATATCGTCACCGGCGATACAAATAGATAAAATGAAAATGGAAAAAATAATACGATAAACACGCAGAAAAATCTGAAATCCCTGATAATTAAATCAATTTTAACGTACAGACACAAATTTTCCGAACATTTATTTTCATCTTTTATTTCTCACATATTCTCGATAATGAAAACCGCAGCTTCCGAATAGGATATCTCAGAATGAATAAAACATAGTCGAAGTTCCTGTCCCGCGCAGCTCATTTCTTAGGTAGTTAATGCAATATTTTCCCTTCCTCCCATAACGTTTGTAAACGCGTTGCGAGGCGGTCGAACGAAACAGAAATCGATTGACCGGCAAACTAGTTACAAACGCGGCTCGCTCAATGAAAATCTCGTTGATCGGACATGAAAAAGTTGTCAACAAGTTACGCCATATCTATTCGCGTGCACCGGATAACAAATGCAACATACCGTACGGTGTATGTACACTGCATACACGTATGTACACAAGGAGCCAATTGATCCTGTATACTGCATACTATATATGTATTTCGCTCTAACCGAAGCGCCGTAATACAAACGTATATAAACAAAGATTACCTAAGAATCGGATGAACAAACGAATCGAGTGCATCGAACGATAAATGATTCAGCCGATCGAGACCCGTCGGTGCGACGTTCGTTGTCCTCTGTTGCAGGATTTCTGATTTCCGAAATCACAGAGATCCGAGGTTCGTCGACGGTCATAATAGCTGTCCATTCTTTTTCCGGCGCACGATATGCGGGTTATAGGAATTCGATGGACGTCTATTACGACCGTTGATGTATCTCGAGTTCCTTTAGAAAAACAGAGCATAATCAATGGTGCACGGCGGCACGGGATTTCACGCACGCCTGTTGGCCCGTGGGTCGGTCGGTTCGATTTTCGTCTGCTGCCCCGATATTTGTCCGGGACGGACCGGATCGCGAGGGCGATTCGACGAAAGGGGAAGAACGTAGGCGGGGAAATGACAGACAGTAGGTGGTGTACGAGAGTAAACTACCTTGCTCGTGCACAATGTTCGTGTTCGGTCGGTGTCGTAAGCGCGGCGTTCGACGCGAGACAGTCGAAGAAGCTGTGGTCAGCCTAAGAAAAACGACGGAACGTTTCGTAGGAGACCAGCGGAACTTACCGGGTTCGTCATGGCCGGCAACGACGAGTACGAAAAAGCAGAGCACCGTCAAACGAATACTCGACATCGGTCGACCACTTCGGGGAAACATGGCGTCGTGACAACCGGGCGTGAGCGTTGTATCCCTGGCCCTTTTTCCCACTTCCTGCCACCGTCGTGCACGCTCCCGATTCCTTTCACAATCCCATGACGCGCGGATTGCCTCGCCTGTCCATTCGAATCACGGCTCCGGAGACTCACTGTTTCATATCACGCCTCGCACTCAACGTGCGACGCACTTTTCTCTCCGAGAAAGAGATGCTTTCTCGACCACACTACGCGAATCTCACCCCGTAATAGCGCCAGCGAAACTGAATCGCATTATGCGATCGCGTACGTTCTATGTATGTGGTTGTCGTTGTCGTTGCACGTAGGTGTCTCGGCTCTGCTCGGCTCGACGAACGGTACGCCGCCAAATGCGAACGATCCGCACTGCCCTCCGTCGGCCCTCTACCCCACCACGGGAAACCTATGGGAGTTTCGTGTACATAGATTTATCTCATACGGGGTTTCCCGTTACGCGGACTGAAATACCGGCGGTCCTGAATAATTATTTTCAGATTTTTAAGAAAATTCATTCAGAAAACTCCGGGTTTCAACTTCTAGAATTCGGCCTGTTTAAATCGTACGAACTGTAAGAACGTTTCTTGCCTAGTACGATGCTGTGAATTGTTCTAAATGTAATGATACATTTTTTTAGAAGGTTTATAAAGATTTAACAACGGTTAAACGGTTAAACCGCAGATCCCTGATATATATCTTGAGTCCGTTGTTTAAACAGCATATAAATAGACTCTATTCGATAGAGCAAGGTATCGACAGGCGTAGGTGATCGTCGATAACGTAGGTGATCGTTCCTTTGGGCGGGATATCACAGGCGAGTTCACCGAATGACTATTCCATTTTGGCAGAGGACTGCCAAAATCATCTCTGATCTTTAACGATGTCGGTATTTCAGAACATGTGTACGATGTCCAGTCTACTCTGATACATCGTCTATGGCGATATCTCTCAACAGTCTGAACTTCAATTTCGGAGTATTGAAACGTAATATATACATAAAATGCAAAAAGATTCGTCTTTAATTACATGAATATTTTGGCTTGACGTCCCAACTACAATAAATACGAAACAAAAAATAGGTTTCCCAGATTGATTAGTATTTGACGCGTACACATGTTTAAATATATTCATTGTAATTTGAAGAACTTGCACTTTGTTTCTTGCATATCGATGTATTTTAACAAAAGAACGAAGCGGTATATTTTTACGTAAAATTTAATTAAACTTCAGTATCGACATAGTACATATGAATAATTATTGCTATATTGTCTCCTCCAGGGGGCTCTTCGTGTTCGACATCCGTCATCGACATGCATGTACCCTTGCCTTCGTAAAATGTGTTTCAGTCTGTTTGGTTTTCTTACCTTTCTTCTTTGATCCGTGTAAATTTTGGTGCAGCGACAAGTGGCATGGCCGAGTTGCTTTTAGATCCAAACATTCGAGGCTGGGTGTTCTTGCCTATCGTAGTAATTACCTTTCTCGTAGGTATCATTCGTCATTATGTTTCGATACTGCTTGCCTCGCAGAAGAAGGTTGAGCTTCATCAAGTACAAGACAGGTAATCGTTCGAAGCCTTATATTTCGGAACGGTCGAGTACCATTTCACTTGTCACTTACATGTTAATTATATTTCTTCTAGTCAAGTGATGATACGCTCCAGATTACTTAGGGAAAATGGTCAATATATTCCAAAGATGGCATTTATCAGTAGAAGGCATTTCTTTAATAATGAAGAGACAGGGTACTTCAAGACACAAAAGCGTGCTCCTGTGTCGCAAAATCCAATAACGGATCCTAATGTGATGATAGACATGTTGAAGGGAAATGTTACTAATGTGTTGCCCACTGTGCTCATAGGAGGTTGGATCAATTGGATGCTGTCTGGTTTTGTTACTAGTAAATATTCTCCTACTATTCTGAATCCGAGCACCAGCAAGATCGCCGGTTTAAAAATATAATTTCCTTTCAGCCAAAGTGCCATTTCCATTAACATTGCGTTTCAAACCAATGTTACAACGTGGAATAGAATTAATTACCCTTGATGCTGCATGGGTCTCGTCCGCATCTTGGTACTTCCTTAATGTGTTTGGATTACGGTCTATTTACACACTTGTCCTTGGAGAGAACAATGCTGCGGATGCTTTTAGAATTCAGCAGGACGCGGTATCTGGTGCTGCAATGTCCATGCCACCGGATCCAAAAGCTGCTTTCAAATCTGAATGGGAAGCTCTAGAGATATACGAACATAATTGGGCATTGCAGGGTGTTGAAGCGGATCTTATAGGATCTCAAAGAACAGACACTAGCGAAAGTATGTATGTTTCTCTCATGTTATTATGGTTTTGTATCGCAATGACTTTTTTATGTTTATGATACATCTTTTACAGGTAGCAAATAAAAAGAATGCATTTCATGTGCCATTTTGGAAAAATAATATTTCAAATTTTATATATATAAATAATTATTAAATATAAATTATTTTAATTAGCACAACAAATAATACAGTATAATTTCCGCTGAGATACAGTTTCACGTTTTGCTAGAACGTATCGATTACATTTCGGCAATCTCTTACATTCTTTATTGACTATGTACAAAAAATGTCTATTTGTATGAGCACCTTATTTTAACTTTATTCTTCACTTTTAAGGTACAAAGGTATTCATATTTAATATTCATGGATCATTATACAGTATGTACAATAAGATGTATTATAATAAATGTTTGTTTTATACATGTATGTTACAAAAATGTAACATGACTACATTTTAAACCCTTTAATATCTATGTAGCTACTTTTTACATCAATCATTGGGCACGAGCGTCGGCTCGTATGAAATCATTAAATGCGTTCAACACATTTTGTAGCTTATGGAATTAACATTTTAAAGATTCCATTTTCGCATACAAGTCCGTTCTGCGATGGTTTTCGCACGGCATGTTTTCACGAACTAGTTGAACAAGACCCAAATCTATTTCTGCTATTGCTATATCAGTTTTCTCACTGCACTGGGCAACTATGGTCCCCCAAGGATCTACAATCTAGAGAAAGTTTTTAATTAATACACGTAACGATACATCTACCACTTGTTCAGATGTGTTCAAAATTTACAGTATTATTTACCATAGCATGACCCCAGCTCACTCTCTTCTTGTTATGTGTACCAGTTTGTGCAGCGGCTACAACATAACATTGTGTCTCTATTGCCCGAGCTCTTAATATTATCTCCCAATGTGCAGCTCCAGTTTGGTATGTAAATGCTGATGGATATGTTAAAATTTCTGCTCCCATGTTTCTCAATGTTAGGGATAACTCGGGAAAACGCATATCGTAGCACTAATTTTCTGGTTAAGTACTCACAATTCTACTTTTTTATATACGAGCAGGAACATTGTTTGCCTGTACAAAGGATACAATACCGAGTCCTAATTTACCAATTGGTGTGGACACAGGCGATTCAATTCTGTCTCCTGGTTTAACATAATTTGACTCCATCAATTTGACGCCAGTAGTTTTGTTATCCATGTCGAACAAGTGAACTTTTCGATAAGTACCAGCAATTTCACCATCACTGTTTATAACAATGTGTGAGTTACTTATCCTTTGCTCATCTTTATTTAACTATAAGAACAATTGTCATAGAGTGTTAAGCTGAAAACAAATATATCTAAGGACATTGGGAAGTGTCTTACCGCTTCGTGTATTCCACCTAATGAGAGCCAAATTTTATTACTCTTTGCAATTTCTTTATAGGATGCAACTGTTGAACCATCTAATGATTGTGCCATAGCTACTATATCTTTTCTATTGTCTGCTAAATAGTCGCATGCTTCAGGAAAAAATGCGATCTATAAAATAGGATTAGTTATTAAAAGGTTAACGTTAAGTTTTATTTTTTATACTCACACAAGCTGATTTAGCTTTAGCTTTCTCAGCAAGTTCGCGTACAGTTCTCAAATTCATTTCTTTATCATTTGTCGATGTCATTTGACACACTGCGATCAGTGGGTTTGCCATGATACTATGACGTCTTGCAAAGAATAGTCTGAAACCACATGTTTGTCAGAAAGAAAAAAATCAGTATTATAAAGCGACCACTGACAGTCGAACCTGTAGTGTAAATAAGTAGAAATCGAAACGATTTTACTTTGAATGGTTTATTTGATACACCGTAATCTTTTTACAATTATTACCTGCAATGGTTGACACTAGTAAAACCGATAACAAATCGCATGCTTATCATTTATTTACTTTACAGTTATGAACATTTCAGATCCTAATACTCTCGTAAATATCAAACAGTGTAAAATGGTACACGTATACTAATTCCGCGCATCAATTTTATCATGACATTTCATTCGAGGGAGAAAACAACCGTTAATAGAAATTATTAGTTACACTTATACTCGAATTATACATTGTAATTGCTTTGAAATTTGTGAGTTCGAAAGAAGTCCACTAGGTTAGAAGCGATCTAGAGTCGAACACAGTATGACCTCTAGATGCGCGCGCATCGAAATAAGATACTCCCACTCGAAACTTTATATGCGCAGTTTAAAATTCGCGCTCTGTCAGTGACGGTCGGCACCTCTTGCGTCGCGAATCGGGAGTTGAGACGTAGATATCGCAGTGAAGAATTAACGTTTTCTGGTTCAAATAATCAAAGTCTTATGTTTAAATTCTTACGTCGAAAGTAACATTCGAGTCACGTTGCATCAGTGGCGGTTTTAATTAACGTAATAATCAACGATATCTCGGAGGTTTGCGAGTGAATAAGTGGTAACAAGAATACTGACGCGTTTGCGAGGAAGCAGTTTCCATTTCTTTCCATACAAGTAAGTCCATAATACTTTTATCTCAATACGGATTGTCGCATTCTAATCTATTAATTGAAAATAGCGTTCAAATCAAAGGTTAGAGTTCAATTATTTGCCATTTTTAATACAATTTACTAGCTACACATTTCTAACTAATCTATTCCACCATATTGAATCGTAGTATCTTGAACTTTTTCCATAACTTTCAATCGGTCAAGTTTGACAAATTTAACACGTCAACTACCGCCCAGACAATCGTCAAGATATCACGGTAGACAACGCATTATAGTGTTGTTTACTAGATTAAAATGGGACAGCCTGTATCTTTCGACGACCGAGGGATCCAAACAAATGCTTGGCATTTTCCTGTGCGAAATGTCGAAGGAAACGGTTATTGAAGGTGTAGCAAATTTCGAGCGAGACTAGTGACGTCACAGTTTGAGCATTCCGTTAATTGTCGACGTGTACGCGTCGCTATCTGGGTTTTCTAGACCTATAAATAATTCCGCTGATTCCTCGTGTGTGTTTTTCTTCCTTTTTTTATTCTATTTTTATTAAATTGTCATAGTATATAATACAGAAGTGAAACATTCATTTATTAAATTCATTCGTTAAGCAGAAATAAAGTTTGTTCTCCGTTCGTAGAGTTACGTTATTGTGTTCCGTTAAAAAGTTGATAACAAAAAAGACCAGTATATGCTCCTACGGAAGAGTCACAACTTACTAGTTATATCCGTTCGAGGACACTCAATAAATACTACTGTTCTATTCGTAAATGCATCCATATCGTTGTATGGAATCGAGAGACTGAAAATCATACGGGATTTGGGAGCGGGGGAGGGTTATTTTTCGAGCGGGAAAATCGCAATAGTTTGAGAACAAAATTCCAGGTGGCGCGCACAGTCCCCATCCTGTCTATAAAAAGCCGTTTCAGGATCGCGCGATGGCGGGCGATAGAGGCTAGCGCTAAAAGAGGGAATATAAAAATGTCGACAGAGACATATAAATTATGTAAATGAAAACTTTTCGAAGTTGAAGAAAATGGTTCGGTATACGAAATGCGATTTGTTCGATTTCAGGCACGCCACCTGGTACGTCTAAGATCGTGTAAGGACGAGCGAGGACGTGGAAGGAAGAAGGGGATGAGGATGCGTGGCGTTGCAGGCTGAACAATTGTTGCATCAAGATCCTTCCGGCGTATAAGATTGCAATTAGAGCTAACAAGATACTCGGATACCCGTCGGATATCCGGGTAAGTAAAAATTACTCGGCTAGCCGAGTATTCTACAGGATATCCGTACGCATGAGATAGTCGAGAGGTCACTATACAATACGATACAAAACAATGTACATTTCCATTCAATTTTCACGCATTTATCAGATTTCTGTTTCTCGTTTCAGATGCGCCCTTTCCAGCCTGCAAAACCTCGACTATTTCATGCGTCGGGTAACTCGCGAGAGGTGCCCGTGTGTTCGGGTAATTCTTCATCACCCGGGTGTCTCGAGAAATGAACAGCTCTAGTTGCGTTTACACAGGTATGTTTCGATACATGCATACACACACACAGACGCACGCTTGAGAAAAAGAATTCTTATTTGCCTTTCGTGGCTCGTATCGCCTTGCAAATCTCAATCCACGGGTGTCCGTAGGAACTGCAAATGTCACAGACGTTCGACGAGCTTGAGGATGGTTGACTAGGTTGGTGGCCGGGTGTACTCGGTGAGGATGACCCTTCTTTCTTCAATTTACACGTGGACGAGGAGAGATGTAGAAAATCGACCGATGGCGGCAGGGAGGCTGGCGCGCGGCTCTTACGCGACGACGGCAGCGTCGACGAATTGTACGACGACGAGGAGTTCGAGGATGGTAGTATTGACGGCGACCGATCCAACGAGGGAGACTTGGTCGCCTGTATTGACCGGTTCGATGGCGACGACAGCCGCATACACCGTAGAAGGTTGAGTCAATCATTGAGCAGACCTTGAGATACGCTGATCAGCTGTTCCTTCAGCACGCGGAACGATGGTCGCACCTCGGGGCAATGGGCCCAGCATTTTCGCATCACCTGCAACCATCGTCGAGTCATCGTGGTAAGTTTAACACGATTTTTATTCAACGTACAATCGATATCCCCTTCTAGTACTATAGAGTGGGTGTAGAGTCAACGGTAACAATTCTATTAGGAACAATGGTGTTAGGTCCAGGATTTGAAATAACTCGTTGTTGAAAGTGGTCTAGCGATTCTCAAAAAAGACAAACCTCGTAAACTTCCTTGAAGCAAGCCTTGGGTCTCTCCAAGATCACTCCTCGTTGAACTCTCTCGACGACCTCGGTGTTCTTTAGGCGTCCATAAGGCATCTTTCCACAAGTGAATACTTCCCACATGAGTACCCCGTATGCCCAAACGTCGGATTTTGAACTGAAGCGAGTGTAGTGCAAGACTTCCGGTGGTGCCCACTTGATTGGGAACTTGGTGCCGCCGCTACTGGTGTACTGATCGTCCAACACATACCTAGAATCAATCGATCAACAAGTTACAAATTTGGCACAATTACGCGTTCGTTATAGTCTGTCGAATGTTTGTCGATAGTTGCGAGCGTTTACCTTGCCAATCCAAAGTCTGCGACTTTCACTACATTTTCGGAGCCAACCAGACAGTTGCGTGCAGCAAGGTCTCTGTGAATGTAGTTGTGCCTCTCCAAATAAGCCATTCCTTTGCAAACCTGTGAACAGAATCGTGGTATCGGGCAAACTGTGAATGGTGCCCATTGCTAAAGTTCGAACGATCGGTTCACCTGTATGCACATGTCCAACAGAAGACCAACATTCGCTCCTAATGTTGCTTCATGGCGACGGAGGTAGTTGAGGAGAGATCCGTGTCGCATGTACTCGGTGACGATGTATATCGGCCTGTCTTTACTGCAAACACCGTACAGCTGGACCAAGTTCTGATGCTGAAGTTTTCTGGAAAAAAAAGAAACGCCGGATGTGTTCATCGATCGTCTTTTTCAGATGTTCGATCCTGGTTCGCTGCTACTCACGTCATCACTTTAGCTTCCTCGATGAAATCATCTTCGGACATGGTGCCCTCTTTCATCATCTTGACAGCAACGTCTATGGATCCGCGCCATTTCCCTCTGCGAACCACTCCGAACTGTCCGGATCCGAGCTCCTCCAGCAAATGCAGCTCTGCAGGATCGATCTCCCACTTATCTGTGCACGGAGTCGGGCCAATTAGTAGTTTACCGATCTCAGGATAATTCTGTTAGTTAAATCTGATTCGTAAAGGCGCAAGCCGGTTGTAAGTTCCGGCTACGAACCATGACTAAGGCCAGCCGTAGGTGGTACAGGGCGGTCGCAAGGGCTGGTCTTCAATCTGCTGGCCAAACCTCCGCTATTGTGCTTGTGATAGTTCACTAAATCTGGTATAGAGCCGCAACAGTGTTTCTCGGACAAATAAAATTCTCCTCTGGTGTTCTGCTTGATGTGATAGTGCTTCACGTGAGGATGCGGGCTGCAAAGGAAACTCTCCGTTAATTGCTTTTTTTCACGCTGGGAATAGAATAGTTTCGCGGGTACAGGAGATACTCACACTTTAGTATAGAGGGAAAGCGTGTAGAGCCCTTTGGTAGAAGAATTGCGGACAACGAAGCATCCTTCCTTATCTTCCTGTTTGAGCAATGATTCCGCGCGTTGCCTGGACATGTCGCCCACGTACCATCTGCAATTCGAGAAGGACGCGAATCAGTGACGAACAGTTCGAAATCATTTCCGAATACTACGTACTCGTATTTCTGGAGACCCAGCAGCTCTTTCTCCTTCACATAGTTGCTGGGGATGTAACCAATGGATCTGAAAGACGACACCGAACGTTTGAATGTGTTACAACAAAGTATCAAGAAACGTGGATTTATCGTAGAACTCTGTCAAAGTTCACTCCGGCGGAAAGACGAGTGCAACAAGGAGTCATGGTTGGATAAGCAGAACGTGCTCGCCTACGATCAGATCAGCCGAATAAAATCCTGCTTACGAGGAGCGAAGGATCGTCCTCGGTTAACTCGGTCGGACGAGTGCAATTATCAGTTAAATCAGAGACAGGGAATAGAAGCAGGCAATTCGCGCTCGGACTTAATACTTTCGCGACCCTGTCGCGTGATCGAATTAGGGTCTCTTTTGGCCGAGACGCGCGGAATAAAGGCTTTCGCACTCGGGCAGTCGTCAAAGGGACGACTCGCTTCCGATATGAATCGGTCAGCCTTCGTAGAAGCCCATCCTCATTGGGCTCGGATCGAGCGACTCGAGTTTTAACGAGACCCGGTTATAGATAAATAAAAATGTATTATCGGCAAGTCGTGCAGCACCGTGCGCCTCGAATCAGGTGTGATCGAGATACTTTCGGCGGAAAGACGTTTCAACTCGCAGTTATCAATTAGTCGGACTCCGTAGCAACCACGGGTATAGTTCCCGGGGCCCATCCCCGTTCCAGATCGAGTTGCTTAAGTTTTAATGAGAACCAATTAGCGAACGCGGCACTCGGCATTGTTAGAGGGGCGAACGTGTCGCCAATAACGAGCCAGCCACCGGTCGGTGTGTCGTCGGCTGGTCCCCTCTTATTCGAAATTTCGACACGCGAAAACGATCGGCTCGAATATTTCACGCACGTCCGCGCATCGATTAAGTGCATAGCAATACATCGGATCCCGTCCCAGTTCTCCTTGGCTCGAGACCGTTTCCTTGACACGAGCCGCGGTTTCCTTACGCTTACGGCGTCTGGCATAGCATGGTGTGCGATATGGCGTGTGCCCCGCCAAGGTCCTCCCATCGCGCGTCGGCCATTTCTGCTCGCTACCAACACGATTTTCCCACTCCCCGCTCGTCCCGCTTATAATCCGCTTTTGGGAATACTAAGCAGTCATTATTGGAATATGAAGCGACAGCGGACTAAGCCTTTAAAAGCGCTCGGGGACCTGATACCCCTTCGGATTGAAACGGAAACGATATCCAGTCTCCGCGGGGGTTGCATCTCGATGCTTACATAACTGATGGGGTTGCATTAATTCGGATTTCGACCGGGACGTGCCTGACTTCGTGGTTCTTTGTTTGCGCTCGGACGAGTCGGTGGACTGTGTTGGGACAGGCGATTCTTTCTAGAAGGGAGATCGGTTGTTGCGGGAGTCGTTGTTGGGCAGTCAGTCGACTTGTGCAGCGCGTAATATTTCGCGGCAGTTTGATGGGAGCGATGGCAAAGAGTGGGCGAACTGTTTGAAAACTTGCTTGAAATTGCTGTGCACAGAAATAGCAATGCGAGGGGGAAATAAAATCGAATAATTCTTCGTCGAAGAGCCGCGACGTTAATTAGAAAAGTTGAACGACCTTCAGCGTTCGCCTTTGCTCGTGTAATTTATTTCATTGTATTATGTAAAGCAAAAAAAGAGGGGCACGAGTAATTGCGTCAACGTGATTACTTCGTATTGTTTCCCCCGGTTCGTTGCGATTTTTATGCACGGCTGCGTTCTGCTCGCCTCCGTTGATCTCCCTGCACTATGCCACCATGCACCGTGCACCGTGTATACGTATTCGTTGATTTTACGCACCCGTGTTCGTCTTTGACTTTCCACCAGTGCTCCTGAGAATCGTCCAGCACCTCGTATTCAGCGCCCTGAAATAACACAAGTTAATTTACCTCTGACGAACCGTGTGTTCTCCCGGGGCGTTATAAAGGGGTCGGGCGTAAGCTCCGCGGCGGTCCCCGTAAAAGCTTTCCCACAGTTTATGGATTAGCACCGTCGACTTCGAACCCGCTGATTTTCCAGCAACGACGACCCCCACGCTTGCTTGCACGGGCAGATTTTTACAACGGAAAAACCAACATCGGCGAGCCTCGGATTCGTTTAGAATAATATTAACTTTCGGACAGAGCTCCGATCCCTTGACCCACCTTTTCAAAGGCTTCCTCTATTTTTCTTTTTTTTAATGTTTCGGCATCGATGCGCGTCCCAGGATGCCAGTTATTCGAGTAGAAATTTGCTCGTTCAGAATTCAATGATCCGATTCTTAAAAATCAAAATCTTTTGTTTCAGATAAGCGTGCAGACCGAAACCGGCCGACTCGCCAAGCCTTGGGTAAGTTCCAAGCTCAACAGTTATTTGCAATAATATTCCCATCGAATTACAATTTCGCAACGCGATCCTCTAATTAAACTATTTAATTTAATTACGCCGCCGTGGCCGGCATGTTTATCTTGTTTCGGACCGCTAATTCGTAGAGTTGATAATACCGAAAAGCTTGCGTGTACCGCTGTTTTATGCTAAATCGATTTCCGTAATTAACTGTATGATTTAGTCGCCGTTTAATCGCCGCCGCGAATGAAAACGTTGTGTCCGCCGACAAAACGGTAGAAAGAACGGTATTTCCACTTTGTCCGACTTGTTTGCCGCATTTCATGTACATATATTGCAACAGTGACACGCAGAACGTACAGACGATGTACAAATTATTTTGGAACGTGGTACAAGAATTTTTAGCGGTGTCCACGGAGCGCAAAGGGTTGAAGCAGCAAATTGCTTCGAAACATTTCCGACGCGTCGATCAGAATGTCTACGGTTATTACTTCATTTTCCCACCTGGGACAGCCCGTGCGCTCTAAATCACGCAGGGCTGTTCTTCAGGCCGGCGTTAAAGTACAGTCCTCCGTGAAATATAGAGGTTTCTTGGTAGGATATCGGGTAGACGAGTCGATCGTTTCACGGCGCAACGAGACAGCGGGGTTCGGAAGCTTTCAGCGATCCCCGACGAGCTTTCGAAACGCTTTTTACGGCCGGCCGGAGAAATCGAATAACGTTACATCAACCGGTGCGGCGACGGTAGCAACTATGACGGTAGCAAGGGTGCGGCGGGGGGGAGGAAACCGCGATTTTCGTCGTCCCTGTTAAACCGTATACCCCGGACCGGTTCTCCCAACGTCGCCCGTGTTTGTTCCCGGAGATTTTTATATTTCCCGTGTATCCCCGGCCGACCCAGTTTCCCGTCCTTTCTTTCTATCTCTTTTTGCTTTTTTTCCCCCCTCCTCCTCTCCCTCCTCCTACGGTCCGTTTTTTTTCCTCTTCGCCGTTTCGTCTCTGTCCTATCGGGAGAACGGCGATGCGTCGTCGCGTCGGTGTATCATCGAGCTCGGATGAAATTGAGCGAAAACCCGAGAAACGTTTCCGCTGAAGAGGAGGAAACGGCTGTGTACACCGTCGGATTTCTTCGAACCACGGGAGAAGCGTATCGCTCGGTCTTCGACCGGCGAGAATATCGCGGACCGATCGATCCACTCGCGGATTTGTTCGCGGAAATCCCGGTCAGAATGCTCGCGTGCCAACCGTACGCGCGATACCAAATTGCTTTTTAGCACTTTTCTCTGCTAGACCACTCCTCTCGTATATGCTGAATTTTATTTATACATCAAATTCACGAATCATCCGATTTCAAGGGAAACCTAGCGATTTTATCGCTTCGATCGGGGTTTCTGATTTTTCAAACATTCCAGTGGACATCGTACGATGTTTGGGCGAATCCAGCGCGTTCGGTTCTCCAGCGTTGGAAAGGGTTCGTTAGGATAACGATTAGGATAATTAGGATAATGCATCGGCAAAGAATATCTTCGAGGTGGATTAAAACTCGCGGCCGGAACCGATCGGTTCATGAATAAATCTTCGGGACTAGAAATTTTCCGGTGCCGCGGGATAACGCTGCAGATTCGGCTCGATTCGCTCGTTGGAATCGACGCTTGGTTCCGCGGGTGCATACGCGTACGGTGGCGTGCGTAAAAGCTTGAAAACGTCGCGCGGTTGATTTAACGGTTGATAAAGCGGCGGCCGCGCCGTAAATGGCAATGTTCAAGTGTTAATGGGATCCGGAAATGGTTTCTCCGCGTATTAGAGGATAACCGGATCCACGAAATTCCGACGATGCTCCACCCTGCGAGGCTCGCCGATAATGGGATCGACGCGGAACATTATCGGGTCCGTTATCCGGCCGCATGAATCAGCCGTGCGAGTCGTCGATCATCGACGCGATTATAATTTTAATCGCGTTCGAAACTTGACGAGCCGCCCACCGCTTCCTTCGACGTTACTCGATCAGCAACTCCCGCTTAAATTCGTTACGGTTTTCGGTGACGCCGACGAGCGCGCGCTCCAAAATGTTCCACGACTCGCGCGGTGTTTACGAGAACTTTTTTAATCAAGGAATACTAGGCGCGACTTTTCGAGGAATAGAATTTCTTCGAATTACGCACGGGTACGCGCAAGTAGCGGAATCAATGAAAGTAACGGAAATTTTCTTCCGATTCCTCTTTTTTTTCTTCGTCGTATTCGTCGCATGAACGACACTGCTCGAGGGTATCCCTAATCGCGTCGAATGAAAGATAACGCGAAGGAATAATATCGAGCGATATCCACAGAGATCTTGGATTTTCGATTCGAGCCGATCTCGATGTCGTTGCCGCGCCGAATTCAATCGAGTGGGAGGCGTCGATGGGAAAAACGGATATCGATTCCGGTTTACTTTCATACGATCGAGATTCTCCCGTTTTCGAACGAAGTATTACTGCAATTCCATCTCCTCCGGCGATGCAATTAAAGCCGCATTTTATCGCGGAACTATGTTGTGCATCCGCCGTCCGAATCGCATACGGAACACCCTCGTGTTCCCGGTTCCCCGTTCCCCGTTCCCCGCGATCGATCCACACGGACCCCCATGCGAGTTAACCGACCGATTATTAATGGGCTCGACCCCTCGGATTCAATTAGTACTTACCTTTTCGAGAGAAAGATCGCCCCCCTCGATCGCTCGAAAAGGGTACAGAGCCACCACCACCTTCGTTCTCATCATTATTTTGTCCTGAAACACCGTGTTCAACAATTACCATCGTTAACATTTCTACGCGGACTTTGACGCGGTTATGGGAGAGAAAAAGGGGCGTAAAAACTATCGTAAATTTCAAGCGAGAACATTGTTTTATGTATGCGGAGCTTCATAATATTTTTAACGGATTAAACGAATCTCTCTCGCTCCCGTCGGTCGGAGTCTCTGCAAAAAGCTACGAACGAAAGCTGCACACGGGGAAACTTTAACGAGATAACATTTTTCCGCCAGTTTCCGCGCGCGGCTCTCGATTTCAAATCTCCAGCCGATGCGAGAGAGTGTGTTACGCTCGTGCTCTTCCCACAGGTGTGCTTCTAAAACTCTAATTATTATTTGCTCGCCGCGAAAGATTACGGCAACTCGGCGAATATATTAGTCGATTAGTTCTCCTTCGAAGTTAAATTCTTTTTCCTTTGTTAAAAACCTAGCGAACAAATATTTCCCGAAGGATCGTGGTATTATTCCCGGAGAGAGAGAGAGAGAGAGAGGGAGAGAGAGAGAGAATATCGTTGTTTTACCTTTGTTTTAGAAGACGGAGTTCCTGGCGTGCCCCCCGGCATTATGGGAGTCGAGGGGGTTCCTGGAAAAATAAAAAGAAATCATGAAAGCCTTCGTTAAGTTGGATTAGAAGTCCCGGCCTTATTAATTATAATCGCGCTTTTTATTCGAGCTCCGGCATCGAAGCTCGCCGTTAAGCCGCCGTAACGTTTATTTATCGCGTACACGGTGCACGGGCACACGCGATCCCATCGCACTCGGTTACTATTTATTTATTCCGATTTTTTTATTTACAGCGAACTAAAAACGCGCGCGCGTTGCACGCTCGTAACTTTACGTCGGTCACCTTTGTAACGCTAGTTTCAGTTATATTTTAGCGTATTTATTTCTCTCTGCCGTTCATTTTGGCACCGTGAAAGCGGAAAGGGGAGAAGGACTTTCTTTTTTTTTAGCCGGCTCGACATGTTTCGCAGCCGCGATGAATATTTCCCGCTTTTAATTTAAAATCCGCGATTCCGTAGGTGGTTTACTAAAATAAATTCGACAGGCTGTCCGTGAATAATTTTGTAAGTCGGCGTGCTTTCGAAGCGAGCGCGTCCGTGAAAACGACCGGGGAGATAAAAAAAAAGCTCCAAGGAAGAGCACGAAATAAAGAAAGAAATAAAGACCGAAAGAAAGACAGCACACGGCCGGGCACCGGTTACGCGTTGATTTTTTCGTAGAATTAAACGGCAGCGCCGCGCTCTTCTCCGTCGTCGTGTCTGCGAAACACCAAAGGGTTATCAGAATTTTCGCTGAAAAGAAACGGCCTCTTATATATATATATATATATTTTTCTCCTCCATCGCGATAATTATTGAATACGCCGGCGGGCCGAAGAAGAAAGTTCGCCTTCGAGGAAAAAGCCTCGTAACTTCTATTTTAACGAGCTTACGCTTCCCACAATGTTTTAATGAATACTAACGAACCCCGGCAATTTTTGCGCGAAATTGAATCCGCGGCCGCGGCGACAAGGCTTTTTAAGACGAAGTCCATTGGTCGTGTTCGCGACGAAGCGGGCTCCGGCAGAGTGTTTCTAATTTGAAAAATTACGGAGCCGTTGCAAAGGAAACAGACTCGGATGAAATTCCCCTTCAATTTCGACTCTCCGAGCCGGCACTCGTGATTTCAACCTTTACCCGAGCATCCCTTAAGGATCGGGACAATGGAAGGGCGAGCGAAGGGGAGGACGTTTCCGATCGTCGCAGTCGATCGCGATGATTTTTACGATAGTCGGCGCACGCGGCCGAAAAGATCTCGGGTTTTAACGAACAGAATTATCGACACCGTACCGATCGAGTTCGAAACAGTGGTCCGGTCAGGAATTAAAGCCGACTTTGTCAGCGAGCGGTACCAATTAACCGTCACCGCCATTCAACGGCCCGTAATTAAACAAGGATTAAAAGTAATCGTTCCGTTTGCCTCGCGAGCTCGGACCGCAGTCTTGGGAGGAGAAATAAAGTAAAGGAACGATGAATTAATTTGTGGACCGTCGGAAGCTCTCCGGTCGAACGTTTTCTTGTTCTTTTTCTTGGCACTTGCGCAACCGCAACGAGCAAGGAGGATCTCGCTCGACACGGAAGAGAACCGCAGGAATGGCGTAACGATAATACAATATTTGATTTACTCGAAATTTTTCAATCTTCCACGTCGTCCAGCTTTTCTCTGCCGGCCGCGAACGAAGCGTGACAAATCGACCAGCAACAAAAAGATCGTACATCAATTTCTGTTAACTCGATCCAAAGGGGAGACTTTAATCTCGAAATCCGCGGTGGTTCGGGACGCCTATCGAATTGTTTCCGTGTTCGTAGGCGAATTCGAGCTTCGGACATTTTTAATCGATACCGACGACATCGTCGTCTTTCGCTCTTCGCTTTGCCGTCTGCTTTTCAGAGCGGAAGCTTCCACGAAAATAGGACAGTTTAGGGTAGACCGGTTCTACCGTTTAAAGCGAGCCGAAGTAGAACGTTCTTTCGGAGACGGTTCTTGCAAAGAATCGATCTTAAAATTCGAACGCACATGCTCGAACGTTTCCTTTAGAAACGCATTTTCGTTAAGCGGAGGATACTCGGGGGTTTATCTATTAATCAACCCGGCGCATTGTTCTCGTTCCCATATTCACGGTGCGCTCGGCAGTGTTCTCCGGCTCGCAAAAATCGCGGAACCGAAGCGCGACTATTTATCAAGCGAATATTTTGCTATCCGCTAGAGAGAACGATTTACCTTGACGTCGGCGGTATCCCGATCCCGAACCCGACGAATGCATCCCCCGAACCCGACGAATGCATCGCGACGAACGCTGTGCGAATATTCTCCGGCGACTGCGCTCGAGTATCCCTTAGACGGGCAGCACTCCGCGTATCGTTTTCATTTCTTGTCAAGTACGCCGCGACAATGGAGATTTTAAAGCGAGACTGCCTGCCGCGCGGGGATCGAGCTTTATCGGGGATTATGTGCCTCGAAACGTTCGTTTTCCTCCGTTCCTCCCCCTGCACCCTTCCGCGGACGAGTCAGCGGGGACAGTGAAAAATTCCTTAATTTTCGGATCGCGGAGCGGCTTTCGTCGAACAGAGAATTTTCGGGATTTTTCTCGCGTCGGCGATTCTTCCTTCCCGGCGCTGCAATTAATCGCGAAACGATTCGATCGTCGAAAACCGTATCGCGGCTCGACGACGATTCCCGGAAATATTCGTACGAATTCGCGACAGAGAAATTTCGATGAAATTACTTATCGATGCGCGCGCGATAATTAAAAACCGCCCGGCATTTCTGCGCGTTCGAATTTCTCGAGACGTTTCCGCGGCGAAACAGGGGGAACGAAACGAGCACGAGGATTTCCTGTTGAACATACTCTGTCGCGGGTCCGGGGAAGAGAGTAAAAAAGGTTGAATCAAAGTGTCGCTGCAGATATTACGATTCCCAGTCTGCTAGTAATTCTCTTCTGTCTCTCTGAAATTCACGGAGCGAATGAGTCCCTCGCGAGACTGATCGAATCCGAGAGTCCCTCGGTTCTCGATCTCGTCTACACTCCGCGACAAAAAGATGCCTCGTCCGGCGAAAAGCTCGCGCGATTTCGCAGCAACGAATCTATCCGCGTTTCCTCCCGCTTACGCGGAAATATTCGCGTCTTTTTATCTCTCGGGCGAAACTCGCGCACGGCAGAATTTCGTTCGACGATCTCACCGTCTAATTTTCTACTCGATCATGCTTGAACTTTTAATTCGCAGCGACGCGACGTAAATGATGGAAGACTTTTTATTAACCTCGGGCAACAAAAAGTTACGTCGTGAAATATTAACGCGTTCGCTGTCCCCCTCCCCCGCCGCCCTCCATTGTCGAACTGTTTCGTTCGGTGCCGCGTAGCTCGTTTGTCGAATATTAAAACAATTTGACGATTCGAAGCTATGAATTACAACATAATGTTTCGTTGCGTACGGTCTCTACCTGGTTTGTCGAATATTCGAACGATTCGGCGAACGAAAGCCAAGGAGCTGCTCGCGTAATCTCGAACGTGCATCGAATTCGTTTGACTCGAGAAAGACGAACGAAATCGCGAAAAAAGTGAAGCTTGCGGGATGAGAAATGATAATCTTGCGACGGACTGTAGTTGGTTCAGCTTACATCGAACCTCTATTCTCTCCTCGATACCATTACCGGTCGCATTTTATTCCCCGACGTTCTCATAATTCCAATTTGCATTAATGCACAGCTAGAAATATTATTCTCCTGTTTCGTCAGGACTCCCCCTCCCCACTCTCTCTCTCTCTCTCTCTCTTTCTCTCTCTCCTCGCCTCTCCGTCTCGCCGCATTTGTTTTTTCATTTACTCGAAGCAGCATCCGATTCTTTGTGTTCTCAATTAACGCGACGGTGCGGTGTAACGAGCGAACAACGCCGAAGCTCGTTAGCCAGCCGATTCGTTGATAAAGTACATTTCATTTCGAGATCTCGCCACGAGGAAAGCCCGATTTCCCGTTTTAATTATCCCTTCGCCCTTTTCGTCGCGGATTTCTCGGTTTTCTCGGCTTTTCCCGGCTCTGCTCGCGTTTAAGGCTGCCATTGTGCTCCGGTCCGCGAGCTTCTGCAGAGGCGCACGCAAACTTTTCGACATCGATTGCCTTTATATCCGAAGCTCGTCAAATGTTCCCCCCTTTCCTTTCCTCTCCTCTCCTCTCTCGAACCATCTCTCGTTAATAGGATGTTCACGTAATTACAGATACCCGCGAATTAATTGACCGAAAACGTAATCAAACGCGCGGCGGTATTTCGTTCGGTTTACAAATAATACGCGGAGCAATTTTATCACAACGGCGCATATTATCCCCATAATGGTGAATTATCAACGAAGTCCTACATCCGTGCTGGTATTAATCTTGGAATTATTCGACGGAGAACGATAGGCGCATTGATATTCCATTTTCGTGAACGAGTTCAATTATTTCGGAGCGTTCCACGATAAATGTCGCGCTCCTCCATTTTTCTCTCTCTCGAATTCGGGATCTTTCTCTTCTCCTCTCTCTCTTTTCCTTTTAATGTCACAATAAACGTCGCTTCTCCGCGGTTCGCTTTTTCGTCGGCTTTTTTTCTTTCTTTCACCGTCTCCGTCGCAATAAACGTCGTTCTCCTTTTTTTCGGCTTTCCATCGCTCCGTCTCTCTCTCTCTCTCTCATTTCCCTTCCGCCCCTCTCGCTTTCTCCACCCCTCTGTTACGACAAATGTCACGACGTCAGGCCCGAACAAAGCCGCCCTTGCAATGTTTATTAAGTAGAACGTACCATCGATTTAGACCTAGCCACGCAGGTCGCGCAGTCGTTGCGCGTCGGGCCGACCCATCGGAGAGCTCCGAGAGAAATCGAAAACTCGAAGAACCATCGGACACACGTCTCGGACGTCTCACAGTTGCACTTTTCCGAAGATGTTATCGGGAACGCGGAGTGAAAGTGCTCGCGGGCACGCACCGGTGTATCGTTTCGCACGCGCACGGCTTTCACTCGCGATTATGGTCGATCGAATTTTCGCGCTGCGTCGACGCCGTAAAATACACG